TAGCTGTCAACTCGTCTTCAGGCGCCCGCTGAAAGCGCAGCAAGTCCAGCACTCAAAGGGAGCGTTCTACATTTGCATGGGGTTTTAAACTGAGACATTCATTTTGAAGATAATTTCGCGCCGTTCACAGCCCCATCCTTCTGAAGTCTTGACACCTTCTAAGTAAGACGCCCTCAAAATTGTGCTGACTAATTGATGCAGGCTGTTTAAAAGTCACTCAGGCATGCATGGCGCCAAAGAAACATCTCTCAAATTTCGTCACCTCATTGGCCTTGCGGCGTTTAAGGCCAATGCCCATATCATCTTTGATTCATTTTTGTGTGGCATATGTGTGTACAATTTCTGGAGCCATCGGATTCAATTAGCTCGCATGAAACAATGTTAAGCCTTCACTACATATTTCAAACACGATTCAAGTTTTGTCCTACAGACATGCAATCAAGTAACGTAAGAAGAGCGCCATAAGTGGATACGTGGGTGCGAGGAAACGATATAAAATCACGGATGGATATTCAAGAATACCACACGAAAGGGCCAAAACACTGGCACACAACGATATTTCTGTTCTAAAAACGCCGTACCCACTACCACGACATGTCTCGAGAAACTGAAGTACTACAAGGGAGTCAGCCCGTCCACTAAGGAGGCAATTTTGCACGGTTAGTTTGGCAGCCCATCTGACGTGAAGTTAATCTTTCATGACGCAATGAAACGATGACGAATTGAAGACGGTGTTCACTAAATTGTTAGACTGTATTCATATAATCGAAAAGGCACGATGACACAGAAAGTGTATTGTCATAGCTCATGGTGAACTCGTGATCTTCAGCGGATGATCTCAAGCAGAGCGATCTTTGATCGATCAATCTTCTTATAGTCTTCAGCAGGGCGTGCTTCCGAGCAGTCAGGGAAGAAACCAGTCTCTGAAGTCCACGAACCTTACGTATGAAATTAAATTCATCCGAGTTGCAGACCCAATTTGTCTTCGTTTGACGAAGTCTGCGCTGCTCCTAAGCCAGTCTCAGAATTTGCTTGATATTCAGTTTATGAAGCTTCTAATGATGCTGTGCTCCTTGCAGCTTTGCCTGGGATCTGAGCCAAGCCAACTGGATCTCATTCTCTGTCGAGCTTATTGCCGTTTATGAGAAGTAGGAAAATAGAGACGTTATTGAAGAGTGCACTCAGATTAAGGAATCATATTAATGATGGGGGATTCGCCAAGGAAAAACAGAAGGCGAGAGTGTGAAAAAAGAACAGAGCATGGACGATAGAGATAGTGAGGGAGATGTGGAACGATAGAGAAAGAGAAATTGGAAAAAAATGAAAAAGAGGATAAAGATGGCGAGAAATAGGGACGGAATGATAATCACAGAGAGAGAGATAGATGCATTAAGCGATGAGGTGAACAAAAATAGAGAGGGGAGAGAGAGAACGAGAGAGAGAGAGAGAGAGAGAGAGAGAGAGAGAGAGAGAGAGAGAGAGAGAGAGAGAGAGAGAGAGAGAGAGAGAGAGAGAGAGAGAGAGAGAGAGAGAGAGAGAGAGAGAGAGAGAGAGAGGAGAGAGAGAGAGAGAGAGAGACGCCACCACCTACTGCCACTCAAACCGACGCATGGAGCCTGACCGGCGGCGGCCAGCGCTATGACCGCGCCGCTCCCACTGGGCCGATTTGCCGGGCCGCCGCGGCGGACCGGCACCGCTCCCGGCCGCCGTCGGCTTCGACGCGTCATCGACGGCGCGTCGCCGGCGACGGTCGACGGTTTTCCGCCGGCGACCGCCGCCGCCGGCGGGGCGGCATCTGCATCCGGCTGAATAATGCAGCACGGAGCGCCGGGCGCGGACGGGTCGCCCCGGGCGCCTCCGTCACGCGGCACCTGGCCTGGACGGCGGCGCTCCGACGGCGCCCGAGACGGTGCGGGGAGAAACTTGTTCGGCGACATTCGCCGGCGGTGTGGCAGCGAAGCGCGAGACCGGTGACTGCGCGTCGAGTGCGTAGAAGGATCATCAAAAGGGATAGGCGGGACGGGAAATGTGCGAGACAGCACGAGAATGAAACGTCGCATGAGACTTACAGACGAAACAATAACTGGATAGAAGAAATGAAAAATTCCAACGATGTCAACTATCCCATGTGTTAATTTTGGGAAATTTGCGAAAGGTCGTCGTAACGAGAGCCGCGCATACTCCGGTTGGAGACTAAATGTATTCCGCAATGCAACTAGTTTGTCTTGAGTTAAGCTAGACTAGATCATGTGACTCTCTGTGAAAAATTTTAGTGATCAGAGTCGAACTGAGTTCATAGGTTTTGATTGGACTCAGGACCAGCCCGCTGAAATATTAGAATTATGCTCAGCTGGTAATATTACAACTTAAATGGTCTGGACATGGAGAAATAAATGCCTACATGTCTGCCTCGCTTTCAAAATGGACGTCAAATGCCCGCTTATGAAATTGAAAAAAACACCTTATATTCTGACTGTTTGTCACCGAAGTCGATTCCATTGGATGCAGTTCTGGAACTGAGGTAAGCATATTTGTGCCGGGCGTAAGGAGAAGAGTATTGAGAAGCCAGAGAAAGAGTCGATTCCAAATAGTGCGCTCCTTTGAGTCAGAAGTCGGAATCAGCTCCTCTGAGTTAATTCCGGGTCCCAATCGATTATGCAAAGACGGAATTAAGATCAGACTACTTGTGGCACGAAACTTTTTGAAGCATTTGACTCGTCTAGTTCTAATAGTAATACAAGTATCCGCGACGATTCTATGACATAGCATGCTCACACTCATGCTGGGAGCGAATGCAACAATCTTACAGAAAGTGAACGTGTTTTGGTCACACCCTTCTCGTATACTTGGAATCCGACACTTAAGTACCGATAGGTATCACATATGAGCTACATTTCAGATCAAGAATGAAAGGTCTGTGACCGAAATATATTCACTTCATCTCAGTTGCTTACGATTGGTTGCTCCCAAAAGTTTGGACGTTCCGCTATTCAATCAAGGAAGAAAAGACGCCTACAAAATTGAAAATATTTTGGTCATAGGTTTCCAGCAGGTGCCTTTTATTAGCCAACTTTCAAATTAAGACTTGAAGGTCGGTGGCCGACCGTTTCCAATGCAAATTTTTGCTTGAATACACTACTCAGCATTTCGCTTCAGTATTGTCAATGGTTTACCCTAACTTAGATAACCATCTTAAGACGTTCCAAATGCTCACGGTTTTCCGCGAAAACTACCCGCCAGCACAGTATCGTGACGTGGTTGTTGGGCATCACATGCAAAGCCACTGTCCACCTCATTTTTGACTAATTGCAATTTCCTGGACCAATAATAATTGTCGTGATATCAGTAGCAATTCCCGTAGACCACACTATGACCAACAGGACTTTTTACACGACGAGCTCAACCTTAAAGGTAATGAGACCATCCGTTTGCTTTAATACGCATGCACAATGCGACTTTGATTGTGCAACAAGATAAACAGATGCTGACAAGGCATTCGCTATCAAAAAAAAACATTTTGAAGGATCGTAGGAACTGAGTGAAATATGCTGCAGCGGTCATTGCGTTAGCGCAACAGCATCGATGGGATCGGATAATTACACGGAGATTTCCTGAATCACATTTCTGTGCAACTCCCGTCACCTGGGCTTGTAGGTGGATCTCTCGAATTAACGATATTTCAGGATATTGTTGATAACTTCAAACGACCTCTCGCAACCTAATCGGCCAATCTGCCAGTTCAAAGAACAAATGACGTAAAGCCCAGTATACACGTCACGGTCGTCGGGGGACATGACCGCTAAGTCCCGTGGATCCGCGACGTGATCGTCTGCCCGGAATATTGGCTTGGGAGCTGCGTCACGAGGTGCACAGAAGCCGTCTGATTGGACATAAGTTGATGACGTCAGTGAAATAAGTGGCACTATGGCCACTGAGGACACGGGCTGATCTGCAAGGCTGGCGTCAGCAAGCAGAAACTGGGAGGCAAGGCACCATAAATATCACGTGTCATCATCAACTCTTGTGACATCAAATCATTGTAAGACAGATGGCCAAAAGCAATCAGTTGTTCTGATGTCCTCTTAGCTCAGATCCGTTCCGATGAAACGGTGTACAACATCTTGCACACGCCCCATACAATCCATAAATGTCATTTATGATATTCGCACGCTAGCGCCCCTGCCTTGTACTCACGTACGCATTTTACGTCGGTGCCGTCTGTTCACACACTGCGCTAAGATCCGTGCCTGCTGTCCAGACAACCCTCACGCCTGTATATGCTGTCCAGACAACCCTCACGCCTGTATATGCTGTCCAGACAACCCTCACGCCTGTATATGCTGTCCAGACAACCCTCGCGCCTGTATATGCTGTCCAGACAACCCTCGCGCCTGTATATGCTGTCCAGACAACCCTCACGCCTGTATATGCTGTCCAGACAACCCTCACGCCTGTATATGCTGTCCAGACACCCCTGTGACATCCATGACTACTGTTTACGCACTCCTCTAACGTCTGTGTCATCTGACCATACGTTCCTCTAACGTCCGTGTCATTTGACCACACGTTCCTCTAACGTCCGTGTCATCTGACCATACGTTCCCCTAACGTCCGTGTCATCTGACCACACGTTCCTCAAACGTCCGTATCCACTGTCCCCACCCATGTGCTCTGTTCACGCGCTTCGCTTACGTCCGTGTCCACTGTCCACACACGTGTTCACTGCCCACGCGCTTGTCTTACGTCTGTGACCACTGTCCACACCGATTTGCGTTGTCCGTGCACTTCTCTTACGTCCGTGTCCACTGTCCACACACGTGTTCACTGCCCACGCGCTTGTCTTACGTCTGTGACCACTGTCCACACCGATTTGCGTTGTCCGTGCACTTCTCTTACGTCCGTGTCCACTGTCCACACCCGTGCTCGCTGTCCACATGCTTCTCTGACGTTGGCGTCCACTGTCCACACGCCTCTCTAACGCCCGTGTCCACCGTCCACAGACGTGGCGGACAGCCTCCCGGTCCGGATCTCTGCGCAGCATGAACGGCGGCTCGTACAGGGCGGCCAAGATTGTCTCCGAGCTGGAGTCGGCCCGGCCGCCGACCGACCGCAGTCCAAAGAGGCCGAGTGAGTGTCGCGGAACCGGGGTCACGGGCGCTGCCGCCCAGCCAGCCGTGGCCCTTATGCTAGCGAGCCATGCCAGCCAGCTAGGCCAGCCGCCCAGCTGGCCTGTCGCAGCCGCGCTCGCTGGCCCCTCTGTCGCACGACTTAAAAGTCGGAATCGATTCTCGTCCTTGTTTTACTGTAGAGCGACATCATTTGGATGGTCACCACAGTTCATCTACGCATACAAAACTGATTCAGTGTCCACTTTGTTCCGCATGGGGCACAATGTACATGCTCCATGCATATTGAGGGGTTCCGATATGATACAAATGTACGACAGGTAACTGTAATTTGGTTGCCGCTTTTTTACTGAAATTCTTTCGTCAGGGTAGGTTGACTCCCATGCGCGCATCGCTCGTTCAGCTAGCATTCTGAGCCAAGCATCTCTCGTGCTTTTAACCACAGCCAGCACACATCACCCATTTGTTTGATGTGAAGACTTTAGGCTCCCCGTTATAAAAGTTGTGGTCGAGTGGCTCAACTACGCTGCGAGTAAGTTTGAAATGTGAAAATTGAAAGTGCTGTTTATCAAGGGCGGGTCAAAGGCCTAGCCAGCCTATCATCATAATTAAAATTCCGCGAACAGGACGCTCGTCCACCGAATGTAAAGCCTCCTTCTCTACCAGTTCTTAAAGCTAACGTGCTGTTTCCTATGGGTTTGTTTTTGGCAGGCAACACATGCATCTCTCTCTCTCTCTCTCTCTCTCTCTCTCTCTCTCTCTCTCTCTCTCTCTCTCTCTCTCTCTCTCTCTCTCTCTCTCTCTCTCTCGTCTCTCTCTCTCTCTCTCTCTCTCTCTCTCTCTCTCTCTCTCTCTCTCTCTCTCTCTCTCTCTCTCTCTCTCTCTCTCTTCCGTCGCTACCGCAATTTGTGTTATCTTGAGTCCTGAATTAGCATTGCTTTGAACAGATGACTCTCCACTACAAATGTGAACAGTAGACGCCAGCTTTGCATACTGCTCATCTACACAAACGTTGCTCAACACCACAGCTGTGTCGCCGTGCGACAGAGGCGCCCGACAGCGCCCCCCCCCCCCCCCCGCACCACCTCGTGGCGCACGACGTGTCACCAAGACCTCGCCGACGTCGCCTGCGGACAGCGATAACGGTCCCGCGGGGCGGTCCCCGCGGCGCACTGCCCGGCGAAGGTCCACCCAGCGGTCTCTGCGGGTCCGGACCGCGCTTCGAAGCAAATCTGACCACCGCCCGAGGCCTTTTGTTGGGAGGAGCGACTGTAATTGGCCTCGTGATCTATCGGCTCCGCGCCGACGCGCGCGCGACCGCCGCCGCCTGTTTTTGTTTAGCCGTCGCTCGCCGGCCGCCTCCCAGCCTCGGGCGGTCGAAGCCGGGAGCAGGCCGGTGGAGGGTGCACGGGCCTCGGACGTCGCCGATCGCAGGGCCATCGCCGCTCGTCCCCTCCCCTCCCTCTCCCCTCTCGTCGCCGCCAAGGATGGCGATTTGCCGATTTGCCGCGCTCGGCCCGCCACAATGGCCGCGTCGTTTGATTTCCGCCGAGAAACTCTCCAGACTCGCCGCGCTCTTCCGGAGCGGTCGCCCCCGTTGAAAAACACAAACGGCAATTGACCGGCGGATCTCGAACCGTGATCGGGCTTCGGTCAGACACCGGCGCTGGTGTCAATTAGATCATGCCCACGCCAGAGGTGCCTCATTATCGCAAAACCGTCCGAAGACGCCTGGATTGCAGTGAATCCATTTGCATACGCTTGAGGACGCGGACCGGCCGGACTCGGATACTTGGTGAAACTTGTTATCTATGGAAGCGACAGATTAGATAATTCGGCAGCGTCCCCACTTCAGATCACGAACCTTGACAGCTAACAGCACTCGTGGAATGTTCCACACGTACCGCGCTTTAATTAACCCGGCTCAAATGAAACTACGATATTTTGCGAGTAAATTACTCCTCAGAACTGTGTCCACACGTGCATTAATAAGATGGGCATATACTATCTTATTAAACATAAATGAAACAAGATACGAGTGAGATGCCTTAAAACGAACCCATAAAAGCAGTTTGCTTAGCAATGGCATCCGAAACATTATCTAGTAAGTAATGACATAAACAGAAAGCTGCCGAAATCCACCTGCATTGAACATAAGCACACATAGGTTTTGCCACATTAAGCGAAACCCATTTTTCAGAGCCGGTAAGCGACCATGCATGTCGCAAACACCTCAAGCATCTTGACTCTTGTCTTTGAATGTAACATGCACCTTTCATTACGAGGGAGAACACCGACCAAGCAAGCCATACTTGGACTAAGAAAACCCTAGACTTGAGCGGCCTGGTCTGCCTCTGCTCGGCAGTCAAGCTGCATGGAGGTCATGACCTTCCCAGAAAGATCGGGCAGGAAAGCTGCGAAGAAGAAGAGCGCAGTTCCTGTGGCCAATATCCACCGAAAATGCTTGCGTTCCCAAAAGACAGGAATTGAAGTCACTGGAGACTGAAGCATTCCAGACTCCTCGGTTCCGTCGCTTACAATGACGATTGTAATTGATTGCAATTGGTGATCGGTTACACTTCCGTCAGTTTCAAAGTCTGTCAGGCCAAAATCCGGCCAATTTACAGGTCATGTTGTCTGTGAGCCCATGTGCAAACCCTAAACACTAGTGTAAATTTTCCTGCTACACCCATGAGGGAGGGATACTCCAATACCTCGACGAGAACTGTTTGTGCGGAATGGCAAACTTGATTTCCTTCATCCGCCCAAGCTTTGTCCGAACTACATGATGATGATACTCCCGTCTGCTATCGACTCACTCGTCCCGCGCTGTAAAAGGTGTCTTACATATTTTTTAATTTTTACTGATACTGAATTATTACTGAAATATTATCCGCCTTGGTCGTCCCAGTCCCATTTTGCAATGAGCCAGTGAATTAAGTCTGCAGCGTCTGGCGCAGACTGTGACGGGGCAGACTGTGATGGGTTCTTACCAGACGCAGACTGTGATGGGTACCTGCCAGACGCAGACCGTGATGGGGCAGACTATGATGGGTACTTACCAGACGCAGATTATGATGGGACTTACCAGACGCAGACTGTGATGGGTACTTGCCAGACGCAGACCGTGATGGGGCAGACTATGATGGGTACTTACCAGACGCGGACTGTGATGGGTACTTACCAGACGCGGACTGTGATGGGTACTTACCAGACGCAGACTGTGATGGGTACTTACCAGACGCAGACTGTGATCGGTACTTACTAGACGCAGACCAAAACAGGCACTTGCAAGACGCAGCACTTAATGGACGCAGACCAAAACAGGCACTTGCAAGACGCAGCAGTTTTCACTCTGAGCCCTGCAGCCAGCCGACCTATGTGTTCCAACCTCGTCAGGAGCACACCAAAGCCGCGCAGGACCTAACTCTGATTCCTCAGGCATTAGTGCGATGCACCTTTTGTGTGACACTCTGGTGACCTCGCGTGACCTTCCCGTGTCGAACCCCGTTTGGGATCGACACGGGAAGGTCACGCGAATGGTCACGGGGAATGTCATGGCTGACATTCAGCAGCGAGCGCTTCTTCGTTGGTCACTTCGCAGTCGTTGCAGATGATGGCCGCAGAATCTTATTGACATGTGAATTTGTTTATGCGTGTTAATGTTCCATGTTTCAAAGGTTTGCTATGCCTGCGGAGGTGTCAGTGAGGGTATGTGAATGCCTCAAGGAACGCGACCGCTTTACGCATGGTTTTTACATTCGGCACCGATTTCCCTGAAAGGAAACACAACGCGAGGTTCTGGATGGGCTCTAAATGTTTTGTCTCCAAGCTGCTTTTGGGTGCAATTGAATCGGGCATGCTTTTAGCTCAGCGCGACTGGTGTTTTGACGATGGGCTTTCTGGGAAGCCATCGGCACCGTACTAAACACGCCTGGGGATCTGTCTGCGCCAATCCAACCTCGGATAGCGTCCCATGAATTTCTACCACCTACTCTTTGCTTGCAAGTCTTTTGAGTCCCCGTCCCGAAAAAAAGTTGTTGTTGAGTCACCGATACGGCTAAATGCGCTGTTTCCACACTGGAAGTCAGTTATTAATTCTCCCGTTGCTGCTGTGTTAAGTGTTCACAGGACGGTGTTTATGGAAAAGCCAAAATACAAGACCAAAACATTATTACAAGATTGTCATACGCGACTTCTCAGAGAGTCAGCATCGCAACTTAACACGTTGGCTGTTCTGCGGAACAGGACAGGAGTATGACATGTTAAAAAAAATATCGTAATTGCACGCTGGCAACGTGGCAAATGGCAAGTCTGTTGCACGTAATACAACAGAGGAGCAATTTATTGTGTTATGTCTCGGCACACACCGCAGGGAGTTACTAGGAAGTGAAGCTCAAGCACAGGTTTTGGTTAAATCTATTTCAAGTTCCACTGTTCACTTAATCAAATTTCAGGTCAATGACACATGCTGTATACAGAATGCGTCGAAAAATCTCTGGGACGTCAATCCTACACTTTATCCGGAGTAGAAAATTGCCAAAACTGAACTGCTTGCATAGCCGAACAGGTTTCAGGACGTGCTACAGATGACCATAATAAATGGGCGTTAACAAGCGTGCGGTGCCCAAAGCATGAGGCACGAGACCCACTGCTGTTCTTGCCTTACGTGTATTGTAAGATCAATGAAATACAACTTATCTAATTGTCTTGGATACCTCGTACCTTAAATATTGGGCGGAGCGTGATCTTACCTGATGTCCCGCGGTCATGGCCGGATGACCACCGTGATCCGATCTCGCACCAGTGACATCGTCATGACCTGACCGTGCCCTCCACTACGCCCTCATCTCCGCACCAAACGGTGTCGACACCAGCCGCCGTCTGCCTTGCAGTTGCCGGCGCCGACATGGAGTACCGGCACTGGTGCGTCATCTGCGTGGTGCTGGTGCTGGCGGCCGTCACCAGCGTGGGCGTGGGCGTGCCGCTGGCGCTGCAGGCGCGCCGCTCGGCCAGTCTCACCGAACGCCTGGAGATGGTGTCCTCACTGCTGCAGCGGGTGCCCCTCATTGACGGGTGAGTGCGGGAGGAGTGGGTGAATGGTCTATGGGTCGGTGATTCAGTGGAGGATACGATAAGCAGGGTTTCTTGTAAGCTTTGTCGTCCTCACTGCAGTGGGGACGACAAAGCACATGGACGTGAGAGATTATTTCATTTGTTATTGTTAAGCCAGAGGCTTTTGATTGGTTGGATTTCTGAAATCAGCCCTCACGCTAAGCCAGTGCTTATTGCGCAGCCTGGAGACTACCAGCCAATCCTGAAATTCCGAGTCAACGGCAGAACTTGGCGGCGAAAGTTTGATGTGCTTCAGCGGTTGGCACGGAATACTACGATAACAATCTGTAGCCCAATTGTCACAAAGGCTCCTTTTCTGATCCGTGCTTCCCTGATACGCTCGGCTTTCTGGACCTCTCTTGCTTCACGCCACGCACCACCTTCGTAGCGCCGGCCATGCTTGCTGTCATGCGGGGCCTGCGGACCCGGGGAACCCCGGTCGGCCGACCCCAGATTTTACCGTCCGCGGAGAGTGAACCGCCGGTCGCCGGGTCCTCGGCGCATGCGCACGACTGGTCGCACCTGCTGACTGCGTGACCGGTTGAACGGGGACGCGGGTCGTAGGGTGACTGAGACCATCCTGCACAGCCCACCAGCCCACCTGTCCCGTCTGATCCGCCGCCGGTGGGGTCGCTGGGTCGGCGCCCGCACCCGCCGGCCGATTCGGGTCGCGTGCGGGGCCGACCGGGGCCGACCTGTTCGCGCTACTGATTTATGGCACCGGTCACAGACGCTAGTGTACCGTGCCAGGCGAACCCCGCCGCAGACTCACCGGGGGTGTGCGGCCGGGGCCGGCGCGGCTGAGCCCGCGAGTCGGCACCACTACAATATTGGTCATGTCAATGCCCGGTCACTGACACGCCGACTGGACGAAGTCAACCAGCTCCTGCAGAAACACCGCATGGACATTTTGTGTATGTCTGAGACATGGCTCGAACCTGAGGTACGACAGGGTGCTGATTTTCCCGGGTTGGGGCATACTGCGGCATGACCGCGGTGTCACCCGTCTGACAGCAGCCCAGCAGACCCAGCCGCGCGGAGGTGGAGTCGCCATACTCGTCGCTGACTCCATCCGTGCAGCGAAACTCGACGTATGCGGTGCCGATCCCATGGTGGAATCATGATGACACTCGGTGAGCGGCCCGACCGTGGTGATTGGTGTCATCTACCGACCACTGGGAGGACCAAAGTCCCGACGCCTGGAGAGCGTTCGAGACCAACTGTAGGTCGCCGTCGTCGCAGGAGGAGCGGTGCTTGCACTGGGAGACTTCAATATCAATCTCCTGAACCCGAACGGCTCCGGCGTACGCCGCTTCCAGACCATCCTGAGAGACATGAGTCTCGAAAGGCTGATCGTCGAGCCCACCCACCTCCACCCGACGCCATCACTGCTAGACCTGGTCGTCACCAACATGACCGGTCTCCGGAACTCAGCCGAGGTTCTCCCCGAGCCTGTGGTGGTCCACCAACCGGTGCTGCTCCGCGCTCCCGTCCCCAGAGAGCACCGACGGTCAGTCACCACCACCGTGCGACCGTGGAAACGCGCCGACTGGGACGCGTTCAGCCTGAGTCTGCCGCTCGGCAATAGGAGGCCGCTCTGCGTCGCTGGCACCGCCGATGACAAGGTGGACGCATTAATGAAAGTATGAAACGTCGCAGCCGACGCTCACTGCCCGACCATCGCCGTGAAGTCACGCCAGTCCGGCTGTCCATGGCTGCGTGGAGATACCGAAGTCCCCGGAGCTATGGCGGAGAGCGACTGCGCCCGCGAGACCTGGGAGCGCTGCCGAACCACAGAGGCGTGCCGCGTGTACCAGCGGTGCCGTAACAGAGTGGAAGGACTGATCAATCTCGCACGACGCTCCTACCTGTGCAGCAGGCGCGATTACGACATGGGCACCATGGGCATTACCCGATTACGACATGGGCACCCGGGTGGAGGCACTCCATGCCCACTTCGCTGCTGTCGGCCCCCGCTTCGCTGCGGAAGCGGTGGTGAGCGGAGGTGCGGGTGCGCCCCCGGCTGGACCACACCCGTGCCTTGTCTGTGTCTCGTCGTTCTCCCTGCATCCAGCCATTTTATTTTAACGGATGTCTTCTGCAGCCATCGGGAAGATGAGCGTGTCGAGTGTTGTCGGTGTTGACGGCGCACCACCCCATGCAGTGGAAAAGTGTTTCCCTGTAATTGCCGTTCATCTCTTCTATCTGATCACATTTTCTATCACATCACGCACTTTTTCGTCCGTCTGGAAGATCGCGCGCGTCACCCCGGTGTTCAAGTCGGGAGATCGATCAGACCTGAACAGCTTTCGGCGGATTTCTATTCTTTCTGAACTGTCGAAAATTAGGGCCGTCTGTTCGCAACTCACTTCTTACCTTCTCGACAAACTTGTGCTGACGCCATCGCAATACGCAATATGCGTCCACGTCACTCGATGGAGTACTCCCTGATCGACGCAGTTGGGTGGCTGGCAAGGGTTGTCGACAGCAGCCATGTTGCGTCGATAACGACGATTGACCTTAGCAAGGCCTTTGACAGTGTTGATCACGGCGTCCTCCTGAACAAGCTGGAATGGTGCGGGGTGGGCCTCGGAATTGTTCCGGGACCACCTGATTGGTCGGAGGCAGGTGGTTAGTGGTGGCTCGGTTTCCCTACCCCTATCCCACGGGTGGCCCAAGGACCCCTTGTCGGTCCAGCCCTGTTTCTCATCTCCATCAAAGAGCTATCTAGCTTCCTGCCCCACGGCCGCCCGCCATCCAACGCTGATGACACCCAACTCTTTGATTCCGCCACCCCCGGTGTCTTCGGCCTGTCCAACCCGAAAGGCCGTGTCGAGAGGTCTGTTCGGTGCCTTCAAAACTGGCTTCAATAAAACAGCCTTAAAATGAACCCCAAAAAGGCAGATGTCATGCTGATCGACACCAAGCCCTCCATTATGAAGACCAAACCTTTCATATTACCATCCCTTGTACAGACATTCATCGGTCATCTTCAGCGAAGGTACTGAATGTACTCCTCGACTACTACCTCACTTGGGACCTCCACATCTCCTCACTCGTTCGGTGCTGTGATGGAATCCTCGTATCTCTGGTCAAACTCGACAACATGCCAATCCTAAAGGTTCTGAATCTCCTTGTCCAAATTCACGTCTTCCCCGCATCCTCTTCTGCCTGCCCATCTGGGGTGGAGCGGCCGAGCGTCTCCTGGACAGGGTGCAAAGAGTGATGACCTTCGCAGCCAGTCTTGTGAGAAGTGTGCGCCGCAGCGGTCCCAATAAACTCTCTCTGGGAGCACTCGCCCGGGGTAGCGTCGCGGATCACGTGCATCACCGGGACTGTCTGAATGTGTACAGGGCACTGCACGCCCGCGAAGCTCCAGTGCACTGGGTGCCCTTTTCATGACGCGCGCCGACTCGTCCCAACGTCACGCTTGGGTTGTTTGGAGCGGTGTCGTCTCGCTACATCTGCCGCACATCCATCTGACCGCCACCCAGCGGCATTTTCCGTACCGCACCGCCGCCGCCTGGAACCGGCTGCCCGCGGCGGCCGTCCGCACCTGCTCGCGCCAGGCATTCTCGACGGTTTTAAATAGGTGTGTCACCGACAGAAGCTGCTCTCACCTGTGCGTATGTGCCCATCTTTGTAAACTGTGCGCATGATGTGGTTCTTTTTCTCGTACAGCAAGGCGCAGAACCACCGCCACGTGGATGCGCCTTCAATGAAATAAATGTGAAAAATATGAATGTTCCTTCTGTCCTCTGGCGCAGTGGCAAAGCTAGGATTATCCCGGGAAGAATTAAAGTTGTAAGATAACAGGGGCTTTTCAGGGAAGGAAACCATTTTCGCTGCTACGGGGCCCGGCTTTTTTATTATGGCACCATGGCAAGCTCGGGATCCGATTAGTTGGCATCGGGGGTCGTTTTTTTAAGTTTTTCTTAACCCTGCAAGCTTCACAAACTGCCTACAGCTTGAGAGAGGGGTAAAAGCCCCGCTGGCACCGGCCGCATGGCGTACTACTCAGGATTAAAAAGTGAACACTTAAAGCGACACGCGTCCGCCCCGCCTCGGGTGGACGAGTTGGAAGGCAGAGGTCCTAGCTAGCTGGGCTATCGGGACGGACATGACGTGCATTTCTGTCACAGTTCTTTTAGTTGTTATGAATGTCGTCCGGAAAGAGGCATCTCTGGGACTACGGAAAACGGCGAAAGATAGCGCTGCGAATATTGGATTGGCGGATTATTTTTCACCGCAAATATTTTCTAACCGAAAATTAGTTTAAAGGTGATAGTATCTAATCACTAAACTATCATTTAATCTCTTTACGCTTTCAGAGGCATGATGAACACAAATGCGGTTTTTATGGTCCATTGGTAATGAATGACACCTTTGACGCGGAATGAGCATCGAATGGTTGTCAGGTTCACGTAGGTCATTTTCGACAAAACACGGATCATTTGTTTTACATCGATGACATTGCTCGATGTCAGATACAATATGTGACATGCGTATAATAGCCCTTGCTGCTTCAGATCGGTCCTAGGGCGGTTTCAGTACTGAATTCGATTCAGAGCACTGTCAGGGTGAGAGGAGGCGACCCCATGTGCATGGAAGCGCTGAGTGCGTCATCCGCCACAGAGACGGCAACGGTTGAGAACGCGGTCTGCAAGCATATAACCAGAAATGTGATGTGGTCTCCGAGTGCTCGTGAATTTTCAGTGTAGTCTTGGAACGCATTAATTTTAACCTGAAATGGATTGCGGCTGGCTCAATGTTGAATTGACCTCCCGAGATTTTTAAGAATGATCTCCAAACGGCGCGGCGTAGCTGCGCCAAAACTTTGCATAGCTACAAAGAATTAAATAGCAGCTTTTTCACTGTAACAAATGAGAGGCATCTTGTAAGGTCCCTGACTTCTGACAGGTCCAATTCAGGCCATGGCTGTCAGCGAAGGGTATTTCTAGGGAAGCGTTAAGTGTTCTGCAACAACGTAGTGCTAGACAAAGCATTTCGTATATCGCATATAACCTCCTAGTCAATAAACCGCTTGAAGTTAGAACTACCACCAATTCCATCGACTTAGGATCATGTGCGAACGTCAGGCTGACGTAAAAATCTAACCTGTTTTCTGCTCGAGAGCTTCGTTTTATGGGCTGGTTTCTGGTGTTCATTTTTAATTCATTAATGACAGGTAATGCAAAGAGACATGATCCATGAACTTTTGAAGGTCAGAGTAGGTCGCTGACGTAAAATGACACAGGTTAACCCTTTTCTTTCAGGATAAATTGACTAGCGTAATACCTGACGCTTATTTGGGTGTAAAATGGGAGCAAGTAGGCACTTCGTCACCTTAATCTTATAAAGGTCAATGAAGGTCACTGACCTTATTGAGCTTTTGTTTAGAACAGCTACCTAGTTTCATGGAAGTTGCATGAGAATGTCTGGGGCGCTTGAGACACTTATCTGAAGTTTAGCCTTTTTGACCTTATTTGATCCCAAGATCATGACCTACGAACCTCAAATTTTGGCAAAAATTAGTTAACGTACAGTCCAATCCATCCTGAGAATTTGGCGTCTTCAGCTACCTTGTGTTTTGGGATCTCAGCAGGGTCAAATTGCCCCCCACCCGAGCGAAGAGTATTCAACCGGCCACCCAGGTACGTGTTAACGTGGTCATGTTGGCATTTTTAGGCACCGTGCTAGCCGCAAAATTTGGTTTCGTAGCTCTGAGACAATTTAGGATCAAATGATAAGGGGCTGGTTGACTGTCACTAGGTTCCTTTGGTTGCATAGGCTCTCTCTTGTCACCCTCGAAAGCGACGAGATGGAAATAACTGCCGTCCGACGAGGGTTGAAGGGTATATTTGATATTTGTGTGGGGTTTTGAAATGAAATCGTAATTTTGAAGATCGTTTAGTGCAGTTCACAGCCCCGCTCTTCTCAAGACCTAAAACGCTCTAGCTTCGGAGCTACACGCCCGCGGATATGTGCCGATTTTCCCTTGCAGACTATTTCAAGGTCATTTAGGCCTTCATGACGTCATGCAAACGTCATTCTAAGCTTGCTACCCCATTGGCTATGCGGCGTTCCAGGCCAAAAATAATACAAAAATCTAGCGGTTAATATCTGGCGTTCATGAGCGCGATTTCCAGATACCATGGACACCAATAGGCTCGCAATTAATGCTGAGCAGGTTGTTCAAGTTGCAATCACGGATCACGTTTTGTGCCACATAACATAAGCAGTTGGACGTGAGTGCTAGTTGTTACGGAAATCAGACTTTTAATGGAATAACTCGAAAAAGCGTTACACCTGAGTATGTGAATGCAAGTAAACACATCAAACTCAATGATAAATGTGCTGTAACACAACAAGGAAGGACTATAACACGAGCACATAGCGGTGCTTGATTCAGCACACCTCCTAAGCATCGTTTCGGCCATCTCTCGGGACGTTGAAGTACTACAAGTGAGTGCTGGGAAGGTAATTTTGCGCGGCTTACCTGACAACACCTCAGTCATACAAACGTTTCAGGATGCAATCAAATGTTGAGGATCACATTTACTACGGATAGAAATGCTGTTGTCTAAAGCAGGCTTTTTCATTCAAAGTTATCTCAATAATTAAAAGTGAGTTTATCTCATCACATATGATGCTTGATTCAATATCCTCAAGTGTGAACATTCCTTTTGAGTTATTCATCGCTGTTTTAATCAGTTATCTACTACAATGTGGGACATTCAGTTGTTCTTGGTGTGTGTGTGTGTGTGTGTGTGTGTGTGTGTGTGTGTGTGTGTGTGTGTGTGTGTGTGTGTGTGTGTGTGTGTGTGTGTGTGTGTGTGTGTGTGTGTGTGTGTGTGTGTGTGTGGTGCGCGCGCGCGCGCGTGTGCGTGTGCGCGCGCGTCTGCGTGTGTGTGTGTGTGTGTGTGTGTGTGTGTGTGTGTGTGTGTGTGTGTGTGTGTGTGTGTGTGTGTGTGTGTGTGTGCGTTTACTATAGCATATGGTTTGGCAGAAACACTGGTTTACACTTCTATAATCGACATGTGCTTGGCTTTGTGCTTGGAGCACGTCCGTTTCAAGTCAAACATCCTCATAAAACATGGTCTTCACTGGGATCTACGAAATCATAACAAGCCATAGCTCACAAGCAAAAGAAATGACAGATACAGGAGTCCCGTCAGCCTGTGCGAGAGCCGGCTTTCCCTCCGCCAGCCGGCCACCACATGGGATTATCTCTCGCGGCGTACCATCAAGAGGCCGTTCCCGTGAGACAGAGCGCGCGGCTCCCCGATCGAGCGCTGCGTCTCGGGCAGACCGGGTGCGATCGGAGACGCCCTCCCCCATCCCCTCCCCACATCATTCCCGGCCGACCGGCCGGGTCGTCGCATCTGGCGGCGGCTGTTCTCGAGCCCGGACGCGACGTCCGCCGTCTGCCGACGTCAGCAGTAAAGCAACAAAGGCAGCCGCCGCTGATCCGAGCCGGGGTGTCGTCAAGCTGGCTTTGGCTTGGGTCTGCCGGCCACGGCGCCGTGCCGTGCCGCGCCAGGTCGGCCCCCGGATCGGGACGGGCGGCGGCGCATGTGCGGACGCGGACGCGCGGCGGGCACGCGCCGCGGTGGCTGTCGCGCTCATTCGTTCTTGTTGTGTCGGTTAGGCTTAGCGAACGCAAGAAAAACGAGGCCGACACCTCTGCGGCGAAAGTGCTGAAGAAAAAACAATGGGTTGATTTTTAAAGCGTTGCTGGCTTGGCCGCCGCAGGACAACGTCTTGTAAACATGAACTTCGTAACCGTAAAAGACTTGTTGGCAAAGGTTTGCAGCAAAGCTTCATGATTTCTTAGTTTATAGTCAAATTCATGATTGTGAAGCAGGCTCCAGGTCAAATTTCCGCCGATTGGTATTTTGACGCTTTTTAACTATTAGGACTCTTCACTGGAGCCGAGACGAAAGGCAGAAGAGGACAGCATTTTGAGCATTTTGAACGTAAAAGTATACCAATATTTATAAATAGCTTGAGCATAAGTGAGCAGCTCATGGTTTATGCGGTTTGACACAACAAATCAGCATCGAACTCATGCTGGATGGTCGGTGGAGGGATGTGGATTTAGCACGGCTTTCGTTTTCAATGGCATGTGTAATGTAATTGCGGTCTTTCGCTCGATCATTGCTGTGTGTAAATGCATTTGACTCGCTTCAATCGCAGTGTGGTAGGTTTCGTGCCAATGATCTAAAAACGCTGTGTTTTTGGGGTCATAACAGGCATCAAAACGATATCCTAATTAACAAGGACCGTGCAAATCTTTTTCTTTTCATTCAGGTAGAAACGATTTATTGATACTCGTAAACACCGACACTGACACTCGACACTCGTATATTAAGCGTCTATTATGCGCTGTCGTGTAGCCGTTTTTCATCACATGGAATGGGAAAGATCGTGTGAGCCAAGGCGGAGTAAGAATGACTTACCGTGAATTACGCAACCGAGTCAAACTTCCCGTTTGCCTTGCGCGAGGTAAGACCGATGCAAAGCAATCCTCCGGCCACCATTTCCAGCAGTTTCTTCATTTCAGGCACAACGACTTCCCGTGGAATCTGAGAAACTTTGTGCACAACGAGGTGGACGCCTTCAACTTCAGCGCCGACTTGCGCAAGGTCGAACCTTGGAACCTGAGTCGCTGGTCGCATACGGACCTGCCACGTCTCAGGCGGGGTCAGGTCGGCGCCCAGGTTAGTAGCAGATGCGCAAGGTCACGCAGGCAAAAAGATGTTCTGTTTTACCTCTAAGCTCGGAAGGTATGCGTTTAGTCCGTCTTTTAAGGTGCACGATGCAAATCTACCGCAATAATCTCAATCACGCACGCCATTGGTAATATCCAGGTGCGCCATCTAACATACACTTGGAACCTGCCGGATGAACACCCACGTCAAGCAACGTTAGCCCTTTAACCGCTAAACACTAGGGCAAAGCGTGCGATCCCAATCATGTTCCGGGTTCGCTACGAATGTTTCCATGTAGAAAAGGAGCATCGGACAAAGTTTAAGTTATGATACGCACGGAGAACTTGTATAAAAGCGAAGTATTGTTGTCACGCTTGCATTGTTTTCTGACCTTATGCGGTTACTTTTGCATCAGAGTTGTAAATCGGTTATAAGTGTTGTTTTACAGCAACGACCGAATGAAAGCGGGGCTTTCAAATGCCTCACTCTGTACTCCAAAAGTTACTTCACCCGCCCGTCTCGTCACTTCCACCTCAATGGCGTAGCTAGGATTTGGCCCAGGAGGGGGGGGGGGGGGGGGGGGGGGAGGGAGCAAATCAAAACATAGAGAGTCGTTTCAGCCAGGTGGCTGCTTCTTCACTATCGTCGCCGTTTTTTGGTTTTGAGAACCTTTTCTACGTTTGGGATCCAATTTTGATGTTTTGAGGGTAAGTTGCCATGTTTTAGGAGCCCTAATGCCGCCTTAACCACTCAAAAGTTATCGGGATCTTCGTTGGCAAGCCCCGCCCCCATAAGTATCGTATACGACTTATGACCAATCATGTCCGTCCTGCAAAGTAAAAAAATAATTTTCATAACGTGCATGCAGAATCCCCACGCCGTCACTGCCGACGGCGCTCAGTAGTGCTATGGAAAGAACCCCGGACACTTAAGAGCGCCATGAGACTGACGGACGTGCTCGTAAGACCAAGCGGGCTCGCCTGGCTAACAGGAACAGGCCAAGACGGCCAATCGTCTCCCGGGGGGAGGGGGGAGGGGGGGGGGACGAACCCTTCTCCCGGAGCATCACTTCCTCGTCTCGATGGCCAGTGGAGGCTCCTGCCAGAGCACATAGCACATGTGGCTGGTGGGGGCTCACTGATGGGTACCACCCCGCCACCAACCTGGACTGGCGTTGTTGCGAGGTCCAGCCGGATCCCCCTCGCCGTGGAACGGCGGCGGTCCCCAGATGCGTCCTAGACTCGGGCGCGCTCCAGGCGAGCTGGAACATGGCTCCAGGTCCGAGACACGCAGCCCAGTGACTGGAGCAGCTCACGCAATGTTGGCCGTGGCGTTAAGCCGTATCTTACCTTGTGACTTTCGGAACACTTTCCACCCGCCCCACTACAGGCGTTTTTACAGTGGAGCGCGAGTGGCCTAAGGGACCAGCTAGGACCTGCCGGCAGTGATCGGCTGCCTCTCTCCGGTTGTGTTTGCTTTTGGGAAAACCAAGCTGGTGCCGAAGTCGCACTACAGAATCAGTAGATGTTCTGAGCTACGTGACGATGTGGAGGTCTTTGGTCTTAAACAGGCCTCCCAAAACTGACTGCAAAAACGTAATGTTCAGATACATTCCTCGCTCCGCATCCAACAACAAACATGGGGTATATATGAACAAATGGATCACAGGGGCCTTGAGCTGCTGCCTTTCCAACATTATGAGATGCAAGTTTTTCTCCAGAAAACAGTCGATATTCAGTATACAAGGAATTATTGGAAAGATTTGGTTAACAAGCTAGCATTGGTTATGTTGAGAAAAGTCGACGTTTCGACATTATGCTTTTGGTCACGAGCACATGCGAAATTCTCATGACTTTCACCAACCACTTGCAAACACTAGCACAGCTTCAGAATGCGAAGTGTTCTCAAGATAACCAATATGTGCTTGATAACGTCATTAAACCAGCGTCTGGTACAATGGAGCTCGATTGCTTTCTGCGTGCGACCTCCCATCTGGCAGTCGCATGTGACATTTATTGCCTGAAGCAAAGATGTGATCACCCGCGGAATAACCGTTCGAAGTAAATCCACCGCCGACGAGATACGGCAGATGATATCCACATCCACCAGGTGTCGCATTATCAGCTTATTTTGAAACGACTGTATTTGTCGCCTTCCGACGTCAATGCCTGCTGTTACCATAGCAGCCTGCCCACGCTGCTACCATGGCAACGAACGCACGCAGTGCTATTTTGCCAGCAGTGCCGCATTTCCACCGCGACTGGTCTTGCGCCTCTGCATTTCCAGCGGGACCACGCTGCCGAAAAAGAAGACGGATGTTTCGGGATCGGGCACGGGGCGCGTGGCGGAGATAGATGGTCGGTATCCGGCGAGCCGGTGACCCGCAGGGCAGCGGCATGACGGGCGCCGCTGTAAATCTCGCCCCGCGCTCCGGCCGCGTATCCGTCTTCCCGGCGTCAGCCCCACCCTGGAGCCGCCCGCGGCCGGGGGTGCTGCGTCTGTAGCCGGAGGGGGGTTGCCTTCGTAAGCAGGGGTACTGCCTCTGCGGCCGGGGGTACTGCCTCGGCGGCCGGGAGGTGGGAGGGGGGGGGGGGGGCTGCCTTCGTAAGTGGATGTACTGTTTCCGTGGCTGTGTGTGCTGCCTCCGCGGCTGGAGCACAGCCCTCGTCTTTGTGGGCCTGTTTTTACGCGACAGAAGGCTTTTTTGGTTCACCGAGCTGGACCGTGTGCGTGCGTCTTCCGTTCGTTGAGATCCGGTCGCGTGGCGGCTGGCGCTCGGAGCTTTCGCAGGATGGCGTCGCTTGGATTTCGCATTGCTGGCTCAGAGCGGTGGCTTGGCGCTCAGGGCGTTGGCGTGGCGCTCAGGGCGGTGGCTTGGCGCTCGGAGCGGCGGCTTGGCGCTCAGAGCGGTGGCTTGGCGCTCGGAGCGGCGGCTTGGCGCTTGGAGCGGTGGCTTGGCGCTCGGAGCGGTGGCTTGGCGCTCGGAGCGGTGGATTGGCTCTCGGAGCGGCGGCTTGGCGCTCGGAGCGGTGGCTTGGCGCTCGGAGCGGCGGCTTGGCGCTCGGAGCGGTGGCTTGGCGCTCGGAGCGGTGGCTTGACGCTCGGAGCGGTGGTTTGGCGCTCAGGGCGGTGGCGTGGCGCTCAGGGCGGTGGCTTGGCGCTCAGGGCGGTGGCTTGGCGCTCGGAGCGGTGGCTTGACGCTCGCAGCGCAGCACTGGTTGGACGCTGGCGCCGGGGAATTAGAGCGCGTCCCCGGTCGAATTTCCCCGGTCTAATCCAACCGATTTCCGTTGAGTGATGAGTATTAGATGTGTCAGCCCGTGGGCCAGGGCGGCTCTTCCGAATCGGCCACAATGCTGGCGCTACCAAAGCTATATTGCACGTCCGTGTCGTAAACTGACCGGGTCACGGCCGGGTCACAGGATTCTGGCAGCGTTCGTCTCGTAGCTCTCAAGGGACGATGACCTAAAACGCGAATCGTGCTAATTCCGGCGGTTTAGTGCCCCGACGCGGTCTGGTACAAGAAATCGTATCGAGTGATCACATGCGTGCTTTACGGTCTCGGAACCATTGCTTGAGAAAATGCCAATGCGCGTCTACAGAAAATTATTTGGTGACAATGAGCTTCATCAATGCGCTCCTGTTCATGCCCCCAAAAGGGTGACGTAAGATGTGCTATATCAGCTTCCCGGTTTTGGTTTACATTTCTTATTTGCGAGAGTACTACCCATCGTTGATGGATGCCTTGCTCCCCGGTACGATAAGCTGACAATATATATATATATATATATATATATATATATATATATATATATATATGATGTTTGTATACGCATTTCTATGGCGTCGAATTATGCGTTTCAGCACTATGTTTGAGGCCGTTCATTGAGCAGCCTGCATTTGAAGCGCCCACTGAGAAATAACAAATAGCGTTCCGGTTTGTTCTACGTGTTTGTCTGATGTCCTATGGACACACAAATACCAGTCTTAGGATGTCACCGATGTAGTCCTGCTAAATATTGAATTGAGTGCTAACGCAGTTTTCAGTTGAGCAAAAAATGGGCTCTCGAAAAAGTTTGAAACCGATAACTACATACAAAACTTTGGTCACTGGCCAACAAAGCAAATGAAACTAAGGCACAAAATTGGCAGGTTCCTCACCCGCATTTATCCTGCTGCTTTCCGGTTGCTGGCTCCGCGTTTCCGGCGCATTTACTAACTTTTTAAATGAGTTGGAAACCGAGTGGTTAGGAGTTAATGACTTTGCTCGGCTGAAAACATCCGTGTCCGTCCCCCATCGCGGCTGCGGTGGGATTTTCATTTAGTGATTTACCTGATCGCAGGTAGCTTTCGCCGAGCAGCATCCCGCTAAAAGTGTGTCAGCGATCATTACCATTCAGAAAATGCCCTGGGCTGACCGGGACGGGCCAAGTTGTGGGAACGGTAGATGTTAGACGTCAGACATAAGACCTTAGACGTATGTAAGGGAGATTCACATTGCGAACGTGACTTTTCCGTCCCCTCGTGAGAAGACGAAACGCAAAGTGGGACAGGTGAATGCTACATACGTAAAGTTCAACGCATCCATAAATCGCGAGCTAAACGGCATGCATACGTACATGCATGCATACGTCGCACTACCTAGATTATCACATGATCTCGCCGCATGTGACGTTTCGAAGCCCGTCCGAAAACGGGGACCGGGGGCCGCCTCGGCTCCAGAGGCAGCGCATTGTGCAGCGCGCCCGCCCGATGGTGGCACCGGCGCTGGGGGATGTGACATGTCACGTGCATTTGCCGGCAGTTCTGGGCAGCGTACGTGCCGTGCGAGAGCCAGTGGCTGGATGCTGTGCCCATGAGCCTGGAGCAGATCGACGTGGTGCGGCGGCTGGTCCACAAGTACCCGCAGTACCTGAGCTTCGCCACCAGCGCGCAAGGTCAGTAATTGACAGGACGCAGTGGACGTGACAGACGTTCTCGGAGGACGTGACGCGACAGAGGACAGAGGAGGAATAAGGTTTGGGGGCGTGGAGGGGTCCAGGGACCCCATGGAAGGACTCTTTTCAGTTTGTGCAGTGCGAAATGTGGTCATACTGAATTAAAAGAGCGGAACAAATTTATTTGCCGTACAGGGCGCCTGCGTCTGTCATGGCTCACATTGCATAACAGGGATTTCTGTGCCTGCAACAAGCTCAGAGTCAGTCAGTGGAACATTTTCTGAACAGGGACGTGGATGGAACCCCGAATGCCAGAGGGCCTCCCGCGTTGGCCGGAGTTCTCTGCAATGAAAGGAGACATGAGAACTTTCGATGAGAGTCCAGTCCAGAGTCCACGATGAGGCAAAATAGGAACCTTGTGTCAGTAAGTCTCCCAGTCCCTAATGCTGCCCTCTACTCCATTTCAGCCACGGGTCCGTTGAGCCGAACTGGAACCTCTTTGCCTCTTATTGGACCCCCGTGGCGATAGGAGGTCTTTTGCGTCACTGAAGGTTCCCGCATCGATCCGGGGCCAATGGCCTGGTTAGAGGGCCTTCCACGCCAAGAAGGGGACCAGCTTGCAATGCATCCCTCTTAGGGCATCCGAATCACTTGGTTGTCCCTTCCGTGTCGCCAGAATGGTAGCCGGTAGGCACCTCACCCTGGGAGGAATGGCTTGTCAGCCTCTGACCGGGAATAGTGGCGTACTCACCAGTGTCCTCCCCACAGCGCCCCTCCTCGAAAAAGGTTAGGGGTCTCGCTAGTGGTCAGTAGTGTGGGCAGAAATTAGGTGAGAAATAAGAAGGGCGACCCATGTTTGCCTGGTGGTGTCCATCCTGTCACAGAATCAACTAATGAAACAAATGTGCCTCTGTGCTAAAATCAGGCGACAGGCACCGGCCGCGAGATAACGACCGTCGGAAAATAATGCCTCCCAAGGTCATCAATTCGTACCTTTCAAAGATAAGACTGGGCCGTATGTTTCACCACCATGACTTTGAGGATGTGCTCTGAACATCTTGACAGTCACAACAACACAAAAAGTAAAGCTTTTGCATTCACTTTTCAGGCACACCACCAGATTTCAGCACCAGGCTGCGATGCTGTAAATGCTAGACCTTTCACATGATCAATATTTAGACGCGCCCGGTTGGCCGGTTGGATACCTTTCGCTTGGATGGGGGTCAATATGACCCCTCTGATATCTCAGGAACTAAGGGAGCTAGTAGAGCTAACACCAAATTCACAGGGTGTGTTGACCTGTGCGTGAATTCACTGAGGTCAAAGTTTTAGCCTCCTAGGTCATGACCGGGTAAAATAAGGTCAAACAAGGTCTCAAACTCCAAGTTGGTCTTCAATGTGTCCTCAGAGCCTAATCACATGATCATTCAAGGTCAGCGACCTTGTTTGATCTTTCGAAGGTCATGGTGACTAAAATCATAGAAGACTTATTTGAATTTTGCATTTGAATAAGCGACAAAGATTAAGCTATGCAATATGTTCCCAAAAACAAAGTGCTGAACTGGGTCATTTTAAGTTGGTGACCCATTCCGACCTATAAAAAGTTCATGGAAGATATCTAATGCGGTTCTTGTTATCGATAAATTCGAAATAGGCACCAGAAACTACCCTTCACAGTAAGCTCTAGAGTAATAAAACAGGTCGGTGTTGACCTTGGTACGACCTTTATATCTGACCTTAGGTCAATGAAATTAGGTCATTCAATCGTTGTGCTGCCTAAAAAGTATCTCAGAGATGTATGGCTCCGTGTAACACTCCGTTGTTCCATCAGATTTAACGATTCCCTTGAAATCGACTTCATGGAATCCATGGTCTGACTTTGACCTGCCGTACTAAATTGGATGTACTTACAAGGTACATTCAAGTTTTTGATACCACTCGATCCGCTATTCAATTGTTTACAGCTATGCAAAATTTTGCGCGGCCGCACCGCACCGTTCGGAAACCGTTTCGGAAACACCCCGAGGGTGTCAATTTGACCCTCCACCCGAGGGCATGTTAAGATTACATGGGTGAAAGATACACCCGGACATAACGTTCTAATGTAGGTTATTCAGGGGTCAAAGGTACCTTCGTCAGAAGCACCGTCGTCTCCATCCACCCGGAGGCCGCCGCCTGGTGTTACTCGCTGGTCGACGCTGCGCATGTTCATGGAGACTGTGATGCCGGGCGTTGGGGTTTTTGTTTCTGGGACTTGGAAGCGCGCATGTTCAGAACTATCTCACGTCACTTTTTCACCGGTCATGTCTGAACGTAGGCTGGACATCTCCGCACGAACATGGGCTGACCATGCTAATGCAGAATTTTGACCTCATTTCTATTTGCAATGTGCGTTCGTGGGGTCCTCAGTTTCTCCGTATAGAACCTAGAAAAAGTGCGTCGAAACCCATCAGTGTTCTCGTTTTAGAAAGCTTGATTGAGTCATTGCAAAATGAATGGCGCCAGTGATTTATTCCACACTATTTCCTGGGTATTTTCAACACGCAACGCCTGGTTTATTTAGTTTCTTGACTTTAAAATATAAATAGAATCGCATCTTCCGGTGGTTGCCGGCTATTACCGACGTCAAAAATGGCAACAAAAAAAAAAATGATGAAACGAAGAAATTCGTATGCCCTCAAATTCAAGTGGGCCGTATCCGTTGATTCTTTTTCGGGAGACCTTTCACTATCAAGGGGCTCTTGGTCAACCCTCTGCATCCCTTTGCCAAGGCTCTGGCTGCGCCCCTGGGTTTTTTTTTGTGTACCCAAGATCGCTCATTGGCTGTTTTAGCTGCTTAGGCGTAAGAGGCGCCGACCGAGGACCCTCTGGTCATTGAGGAGTTCCTGGTCGCCAGGTGATCAAAGTAAGCGCCGGTGGTCGTCTTTTCAGTGCCCGTCTTGCCGCTTAGTGCCCGTCTAGCCAACGATGGACCATTCGTGCCACCCATGAACCCTCTCTCTCTCTCTCTCTCCCTCTTCTCGTCTCGCACCGAGCATAGACCCCCTCTCTCTCTCGTCTCCTCTACTCGGCCTCGCTCTCTCTCCCTCCTCTCTCTATTCTCATCTCTCTCTCGCTCTCTCTCTCTCTGCTCTCATCTCTCTTCTTCTCATCTGCGTCTCTTAGTAATCTCTATCTCTCTCTCTCTTCTCTATCTCTCCTCTCTCATCTCTCTCTCTCTCTCTCTCTCTCTCTCTCTCTCTCTCTCTCTCTCTCTCTCTCTCTCTCTCTCTCTCTCTCTCTCTCTCTCTCTCTCTCTCTCTCTCTCTCTCTCTCCTCTCTCTCTCTCTCTCTCTCTCTCTCTCTCTCTCTCTCTCTCTCTCTCTCTCTCTCTCTCTCTCTCTCTCTCTCTCTCTCTCTCTCTCTCTCTCTCTCTCTCTCTCTCTCTCTCTCTCTCTCTCTCTCTCTCTCTCTCTCTCTCTCTCTCTCTCTCTCTCTCTCTCTCTCTCTCTCTCTCTCTCTCTCTCTCTCTCTCTATCTCTCTCTCTCTCTCTCTCTCTCTCTCTCTCTCTCTCTCTCTCTCTCTCTCTCTCTCTCTCTCTCTCTCTCTCTCTCTCTCTCTCTCTCTCTCTCTCTCTCTCTCTCTCTCTCCGGCAACTGATTTGCCTCTCTGGCTGTTCAGAGACCCACCGGACGGCTGAGAGCATGGCTGGGGATCCTGTGAGGGCCAGGGAGGCCCTCCCCGCCCCGGAAAACCCCATGGGTTGTTTGCCTTGAACTTGGGATTCCAAGAAGTCAAAACGGCGTCCAGAGAATCCACAGCGAGGGCCGGGAGTCCAAGCTGCCTCAAGGGAGATCTCTTCGGGGCGCGCGGTGCGAGGAAAAATGGTCGCATCAAACGAAAAACAAAACAGGTTTTGTTGTCAAAATGCCACTCAAGGTAGTACCATAGCTCTTTTCTGCCGAAATGCATGCCTTCAAGACTGGAGCTCTGGAGCGACCAGGAGCATCCGGGTATGGCATCGCAGAGCTTCTGACGTGCTCTAAACCCCTTTGCAATTTTAATGATACCCGCAGGCGATTTAACTCTAGTCCGAATAGTCACGTTTTTACCCAAATTTCCGCGCACCTTAGGCGCATAAAAATGTTGGTGATGTGCTCTGGGCTTACACGATAATGATGCCCGTAGACGATCCACTTTCAATCTGAGTACCGTGGTGCTCAAGGACGGTGCAAAGGAAGGTGCAAAAGGCGCGCAGTTTGTTTTGACTTCATCAGTTGGCGCCCAAAAAAAAATGGATCCCAGCAATATTTTGGGCGTGGTTTCGTGCATGGAAGGCCGGTAAGATTTGAAAAATTTGGAAATACTTTTCGACGACATCTAAAGCAGAGGTGTTGTACGGGACATCTTGTGTTTAACAGGGCCCCAATGGCCCAGGGACACTGGATCCTGTACCCTTCCCCACTTTCCGAAGCCAATCTCAAGCCGTCTTTGTCTGGTCTTTTGATGTAATATAATGCCTCGTTTTCAGCGATGATTTTTAGAAGACTTCCCCTTACAAGCCGCCGAGGTGCTTTGCAATTCAGGTGAAGCAGGAATGCTTGTCTGTTATTTCCAAAACAAATGACATCCTTTACTACGTCATACGTTCGTACCTGAGAACGCCCGTGACGAGGATCAGGGTATCATTATGTAATGCGTCAACATGTATCAAACCCTTCGCGATTCCAGAGCGTGGCGTGGAGAGCCGAGTGGCAAGCTGAATCTGAACATCGAGCTCTCGCCTCACGGTTACCACCGCACCCATACCCCCTCCCCCCCGCCCATCGCGCCCCGGATCGGCTCAGCTGATCGGTCGCACGCCGCCGTAACCGCGCGGCCCAGCTCCGGTCTGGGAGATAGGAGGAAAGTTTGCCGGCTCGCCTTGGGCGCCGTCGACCGCGGGCCGCGGGCGCCTCCGCTGGCCTGGGAACGATCACGGCTGATGGCCGGTGACCGGGCCTGTCGACGGTAGTTAATCGGGGAGGCACACGGCCGACAGTGTTACGGGGGGCTCCGGCGCGGCGTAGAGAATGGTCTCTGAACGGTCCAGGAGCAGTGATGGAACAGTCCTGAAATTGTCTTGGAACAGGGAACGGAATAAAACTTGGAACAAAGAACGGTCGTGGAACAAAGAACGGTCTTGGAACAATGAACGGTCTTGGAACCGAAAACAGTCCTGGAACAGGGAACGGTCTTGGGAAAAGAAACGGTCTTAGAACAAAGAACGGTTTTGAAGCAGGGAACGGTCTTAGAATATAAAGTGGTCTTGAAACAGAGAACGGTTCTGGAACAGAGAACGGTCTTGGAACAGAGAACGGACTCCAAACAGCCCGGTAAAGGATAGGCACGATAGTGGACCGGTTCCGTATAGACATTGGAGCTGTCCTGTAACGGTTAAGAACGCTTTCGAAATATCCAGGAATGGTTTTGCGGGAATGATCTTGCGACAGCCCCGGAACAAGCCAAGACTGTCTCTGGCTGATCTTGAAAATGTTCCGGAAAGATCTCGAACCATGCTCAAAGCGATCCCGCAACATGCCTGGCACAATCCCGGAACGAGATCCAGGAGCGTCCCCAGAATTATTTTGAAACAGCCTTGGAACGATCTTGGAACGGTCACGGAAACACATCGGAACGCCTAAGAAAAATGCCAGAATGATATGGGAAAGATCCTGGAGAGGTACGACAGTTATCCCAGAACGGTGCAGGATCGGGAGCAGCTCACCCGCGCATGCGCGGGACGAAATATTACCGACACTGTTTGGTCCCTACAGCGGCTTGTTGCATACAGATCCGATTATCTGTGTTGGCTGATGGGAATGGCTTCGTTTTGAAGCAGGGTCTTTGTTCGGGAAGTTTTGTGGCTTGTTAGACTTATCCGAGGTCCCGAAATTAACGGTGAAATGTCACCCCTATCCTCCGGCGGATTCAGGTCGGGACAGCGTGAACGAGGGGACATGGCCCTCCAAGGCGACGGTAAAGCAGAACCTTTTCTCCCTTTGGGTCTGATTTTCGTGCAGCTGAAACGCTGACCAGAACTTGACCGCGGAGGTTCAATGTGGATCCTTTCTTGAGTGAGCCAATCCGAGAAAGCCTGCAGACCAATGACGTCGTCGCAAACCTTGAGCTTTTATGCGCCGTATGATCGTTGCACTATGCATTATCATCCATAGAAACGGTGAAGTGAACATCGAGCGGTGAACGTGCCAGCAACTTCCCGGTCTGTTCACAGAAACGGTGAACACACCTGAAGCTTCTTGGTCTCTGTTCACAGAAATATTGGATGCACACCGCGCCGGACGAATAGCAAGTCTACTCGGCGTAGAAGGCGGCCATTCACTGGGCAACAGCTTGGCGGTGTTGCGCACATTCTACCGGTCTGGGGTGCGGTATCTCACCTTGACGCACTCCTGCGATACGCCGTGGTGAGAACTAGGACTGACATGTATGCACGCATTTAGTTTTAGGAGCGTTACAATCCAGCCCTTGCAGTTGAACTGGGATAGTAGTAGGCGATGCATCCGCCCGACTGCCTCTTACGGCATCGAACACCGCTGTCCAGGATCCTCGCCCCCTGACCTCGTCCCCGTCCTCGCCCCCTGACCGTGATCAGCGGTTGCTCACTCGCGTTCTTCCATGAGCGCCGCGATTCGGGCCGCTCACCCCTCCCTGGACGTTCGTCAAGCCGGCTGCTCATGGTTCTCCGGACGTCCGTCAGCACGACCGCTCACCGTTCTCCAGAATTTGTGAGCACGGCTGCTCACCGTTCTCCGGACATTTGTCAGCACGGCTGCTCACCGTTCTCCGGACATTTGTCAGCACGGCTGCTCACCGTTCTCCGGACATTTGTCAGCACGGCTGCTCACCGTTCTCCAGACGTTTATCAACCCGGCTGCTCGTGGGTCTCCGGACGTTCGTCAGCACGACTGCTCACCTTTCTCCGGACGTTCGTCAGTACGGCTGCTCACCGTTCTCTGGGCATTCGTCAGCACGGTTGCTTTCAGGTCTCCAGACGTTCGTCAGTATGGCTGCTTACCTTCCCCGGCCATCATTCAGCCTGGCTGCTCACTGTTCTCCGGTCGTTATTCAGCCTGGCTGCTCACCGTTCTCTGGAAGTTCGTCATCACGGCCTTCGCAGTTCTGCTCTGACCGTTTGTCAGCCGACCGCTCATCAGAATCCGTTTTTGAGCCGACGTCGTACGGGCGCTTCCCCGACCGACAGCCGGCCGCCCACCGCCGACGCAACAGCGGAGCACCTCCGCCCGGCGGGAGTGACCGATCGCCCTGGCGGCACCGCCGGAGGCGTCCCGGCCGCGCCAGCCGGCGGCTCCACAGGCGTCGCGCCTCGATGGTTCCGGCGCACGCGAGCGCCCCTGACGCATGGCGGCGAGACATGACATCGGGGTGGCGTGCCGCGCTCGATCGGTCGGCACGGTCGCCGCGGGCGCGTGGTGTGAGAGGGGCGGAGGGTGGAGCCGGCGGGCGCGGCGCCGGATGCGGGGCGCTGCGGCTCGCGGCTCGTGTGCCGCGTGCTGGAGAACACGTCCGGATGTATACGTGCCTGATGTGAACGCGCGGTGTGTGTCCCGCGGACGAGCGGTGCCACTGGGTACTGCAGAGGAATTTCAGTTGTACGTGCGACAGACAGGAAACCGGTCCCTCAGGAGATAGTTCTATGGTTACCAGGTAATCGCGATGTGACCATGTGGCACCACAGCTTCATCCATAAGGTAGCCTGCGTGCTGGCGTCCAGGCTAGGAAACACGCCCTTTCAAGAAAACGGTTGTGGCTGTTCCGGCCAGGCGACTAACTGCTGAGACACAATGCTCTAACATCTGGTGTCTTGGAGTTTCCGTGGTGTAGGTCTTCATGCATGTATATTTAATCACATTATCCTTTACCAAAAATTCGATGGCCTGTGTGTCAACCAACACTATGGTACGAGAACGTGTATTTCCATTCATTTCTTTGTAGGCAGCCTGAAAACTATTAAGGCAATTGATGATTATTGTGTCCGTGCTGAAGATCTAATGGCTGTGGAACTATAGATGAGTTCATCTTAAATTTGCAAAAGCTCGCAGCGGCATGATCCCACCTGAGCCAATGTACCATTGCTTCACTTCAAAACCAAAGCCAACACAACGATGCAGAAGAAACTCCAAGGGAGCCGTCCAGAGCTTGGCGAATGACTAAAGCACGAAACTGAAGGAATGGGTCTGGCCTCACTCAAACTCCGTCGAAACGAGAAGCCCAGACTTGTTTACTAGTTTCCAAAGAACCCGCGGTTTGTTTACATTCCTTGCCGCGAAGCGAAAAACATTTCCCGTGGAGTCTGTGCGGACGTGAATCAAATTCAAGCACGGGGCAGTGCTTGGCTGGGATATCCAGGCGGCCTAGTTTGCCCGTAATCTCGGCCGACTTCAGCGCACAAGAGTACTCGGCCCTCTTGGCTGGGTGCGCCCATCGCTCGGACCTCGCCGCAACCACCGCTGTGGGCTGCTCCCGACTGAGAGCAGAACGTTCGATGTGCTCATTAATATGCGTGTTTGTGGGAAGACTAAATCAGCGGCAAAATCCATCAGTGCGAAAATCCAGCGAGCCTGCTCCCACGCGACGGTGAAGCAGGCGAGGCGGTGAACGACAGACTGGGTGGTTGATTTCAGCTCAGCAGCTTCCCAAAGCCAGAAGAGTACGCAGCTTTGGTGTCCAGCGCCTCCATGCATACTACTTGTTTTTTTGTTAGCATATACTGTAATGTGGTATGCCACTTGGGGATATCAATTTCTTGATTCTTTAGCATGCGTGCAATAGGATTAGTTGGATCGCGATACGTGATCGGGAAGTTTATGAACATAGCTGACTTCTTCGTGATGAGCGGCGTTGCTGTGTCTGATCATTGGCTTCAAGTACCAGCTCTGCACCGGCAAAAGTAAGAATGCTTATGCATGCCCAGCATTTCTGAATTGAGCAATAGTTCATGCAACTTAGCCCTGGTCGTGCGATGTTATTCAACGACTTAAGTCGAACAATCCAATGTGCAAGGGTTGATAAAGATATGTTGTTCTCCTACACACCATATAGATTGTACTAGTAGTGCACAACTGCACTAGTATTTGCCAGTTATTCACTATTGAATGAAACTGAGACTCAGACAAAGTTGCCGTCATTATCTGACACAAACACGCACTGAGACCACTAACAGTCTCGTGCTTGGCTGTGATGGAGTGACAACACAAGCGGGCAGGCAGCGTCAGATCCGTTCTATGCTTGTTGCAGGGCTACCTCTGCTTCCGAGAAGTCGTCACCGTCTAAGACCAGTCGGGGCCTTAATGACTTTGGAAAGGTAGGTTTTTTCCCGTTTCAAACTGTTGGATCTATCTTGCAGAGAGAGTTGGCAGATTTATCCGCCTGGCCTCAGACAATGGATAAGGGGAGGCGTTTTTGCAGCTGTAAGGTGAAACACTGCACGCGTTTCCCGCGCGAGATTGTTTGTCTGTTCCATATGGAAGCCAAGCGTAGCCAGATGTGAGCGTCAAGTCAAAAATAGGCACAGTATAAGTCAAACACTGCTGTGCGAACATAGCCTTTCAAGAACAATACGCTTTTGACGCTCGACAAATGATGAAGGAAATTGCAAGCACGCGTTATTACCTGGCATTCTTTTCAGACGTCCCATGAAATGGTTTCAGACGCGATATCTTTTTAAAATGTGAAGAATGATGAAAGACTGAAGGCGCAGAAGACAGTCCTCTTAATAGCATATTAAATATCAGCACATCCCAACATAAAATCTAATCGAAAACATCCCGTCGGAAACATAACGTGGAATACATCCAGCGCCTTTTGAGGTGTATGCAAGTACACACGCGCACCAGTTCGGACCTTGCGAAATAGAGGCCTTCGGTCGAAATTATGATTACGAAACTATGAATATTAATAACTATTATGAAAATTGACCCAAAACCCCATGCCACATTTACAATCCCGGCGTGATCGCATCGTCCCGACCAAACGCCATCTCGGGCTGCTGCCGAGGGACATGCATCCGCTTCGTACCCCCCCCCCCCCCCCTCGTCCCTGCTCTGGCTTCCGCCACATGCCGGGGTTTGACCTGTTCTGCGTTGGCAGGCGAAAAGTTTGACCTCCCCCAGCAAGCAACAGTGTGTGACCTCCCTCCCCCCTCCCCCACCCCAGCAGGCAACAACGTCTGACCTTCCACCCCTCCCCCGGCATACAAACCTCCAGTCTCCCCTTCTCCCCGGCAGGGAGCAGCGCCTGGCCTCCACCCCTTCTTTCAGCGCCGTCTGATGACCCCCCTCTCCCTCGGCAGGCGGTGGTGCTGGAGATGAACCGGCTGGGCATGATCGTCGACCTGAGCCACACCAGCCTGCGCACCACGCGCGACGCGCTGGTCGTGTCGCGGGCTCCCATCATCTTCTCCCACTCGTCGGCCCAGGCGCTCTGCAACACGTCCAGGAACGTGCCCGATGACGTGCTGAAGCAAGTGGTGAGCGCGCGGGGAATGGGAGGGTTCCTGAGAAAGAGGTGACCTGCGGAGCGTGCCGAACAGATCGTTCTTAAGTTATGGTCTGCTCCTGGCTGGTCAGTTGGTTCATCGTTTACTCATCCGAAGTCGCATACAAAACGAGCATCGGTGTTCCTGCAATCCTTCTTCTGGTAGCGTTTTCCAATTGCACGTCTTTATTTCAGCTGCGTTTAAATAAGCCCGCATAACCTGTTCGTTTTTATGGGTATTTGGACGTTGGTCCCACCGAAGCATGATTTGATGCGTGGACAGTTATTCCGCTACGGATGTGGCCATAACCACTGATTGATCCCGCGTTTTACTGGTTGCAAAACAGCACTCGATGACTGATATAATTCCTTTATCGCGGCATTTTCACCATTTTGTCACCGCTTGAGAAAGTTAGCTCGGCCCAAGCTGCTTGATGAGACATGGTTGGAGGCGGGACATTGCGTGAACAAGTATTGTTAAATGTATGAAAATTTTACCCAATGGAATGATGTCGCTCGTTTGTTTAACGAAATGACCAGTTTAACATCGGGCCTCTGGAAAATTGCATCAGTAAAACCGCTCAGGCGTGAAATGGGCACTCAAGGAAATTGGAAATCGAATACTACGTCATAAAATGCGACAAAGCCACATTTTCCGCATGCATGGCTCCGCAGCTACGCCTAGTAAATGCATCGAAACGAGACACGTTAGCCAAATTGCCAGACCATCTGCACCTTTGCACTCCATTGAGTGTGAAGTGGAACGGCTCGAGGGACCCCACCATCTCGACTATGTGGTAGCATTATAAAAATTATCCATCGTTCGCAATTTTCGTTCAAATGCATATTTGTGTCGAATCCATGCACCGCGCTGAAGGTAATCCCGGTTATGTCGGAAAACGGCTATAAGCTGGCTGACCATTGCTTTCATCTACTTGGAATTCTCCGTATTGGAACTAACGCAATAATAATAGACCTTTTCTTGTAGCCGTACGTAGTTCGTTTGCTCCGTGATCTGGTACTGCACGCCCGCCAGCATTTACGAACTTCGCACGGTGCTGGCCGTCCCGGTCTATTTATTGGTTGAAAAAGCAGATACTGATCTGAAGACAACGCGAGACCGTTCTATTTGCGGTCTTCAATTCATTTCGGGCAATACATCGCTCAAACCAAAACGCATTGACATTGACGGTCTATTGCACATACGCAATTGTAGAACAATTCACAGCTATAACGTTTTACACCCTAAGCTGTCGTATGTTACTGGAACTGTGTTCTCATGATGGGTGATTTTGAACGCTTTCAGGTGTCCAACTGCAATTCCTAGCTTGTATTCTTAGGCGATGAGCCGTGGTCAAGTGATTTATCATTGCCGTTACCGTTCATTTACCCCTTGTTTTTTTCAGGCGTTAAACGGCGGTTTGGTGATGGTCAATTTTTACTCCGAGTTCATCACGTGCAACAGCAGTGCTAAGCTCACTGACGTCATAGGTAAGCACAGTGTACCTCAAGACATGGCAGTGACGTCACTCCTCGTAGTCGCTTACGCGCTTGACCCGTCGCTTAGCACGCTTCGTGGAAACTGCATATTCTGATTTCAACGCACAGTGAAGCAGCCACTCAGGTACTCGGTGTTCATTAGGTGATGCAGCGATGACACGTGAGACGTGGGCAGATGAGGGGAATTCAGAAATATGACGTTGATTTTAGTTACACTGTACAGGCATCGTCATCCTAACTACACCGTTTCGAGCCGAGGCACGCACATTGGAACTGAGGCAGTTTGTTCTCAAAACTGAGGTAACGTCATGGGCCTCATCGGTAGGATGCGCGGATAGGCACGCACACGGAAGGCAGACCCAGAACTTCGTCAAAGGAGAGGGTACGCTTTACTGTGTTGCCCCTGGAATATGGTGTCCCTCCCCTCAATTATCCGGATTTGGGCCACTTTGTTTACAGATGCTTAGGTTTCAATTAGTTAGCTATTCTCCGCAGGAATGGATCTCCGGAAGTAGCTCAATTTATTTTGTGAGTGCAACTTTCTTCTTATATTTTTATGTTAAGCTCCCTTCACTGGACGAGGATCCAGAGGCTACCAGAATGTAACATCCAGCATTTATTGCGAACTAAATAAAATGCAATTAAGCAGGAACTAAATAACTGTAAAGACTAAACCACAGGCTCTATACAGTTATAACGGTTCATTCGGCCTTTTCCATAGAGTGACAACAGTCAGTTGTGCTGCCGGATGTTCTTGGGGTTTCACAATGTTACTGAGGAGCCCGTGGCTGTAACACCGCCGTAGATCATAGCAAGGTAAAACATTTGCATTGATGCGCCAGATCCGTGTTCAACTGGGAACGTTCATCTTTTCTCTAGAACCCATCGGCGAAAAATATGTGAAATAGTTTTAAGTACATGCGCCGCGCCGGTGCCGTACCTCACACCCGGCGGTGGTCAATGTGCGGAGGGAACGTCTTATGAAATCTATGTGCGTTCTTATAGAAGATATCCTCGGTGGTAGGCTTCACCTGCGCGATATACAGTTTGATACTGAGGCAAATCGGCTTGTACGGTACCATGAACTCATGACGCAATGGCGTCATCTGTTTTGTCTGTGCTGCTATAACTACCAACTTGCGTTCAGAAAGAAGTTGCGCAGACAAAGCTTTTGATCGGAAGCTGGAAAACATTCCGTCCTACCTCTGGACCCCTAGCGGCTGTCATTATGGTGATACGGGAACACTGCCCCTTGTCGATACGGAGTCCCTCAGAGGGATACATCATGCTTCGAACCCCTCCCTGATGCAGCATCGGTCCCCCCCCCCCCTGATGCAGCCCTACTGAGGGGGGCATCTGGCACCGGATTGCCCCCGGGCCGTCACTGATGAAAAACGATCCCCTACCGCCGCAGGGAGTCCAATAATTGACGTCGAAAAACCAATTCGGCTTGTCGGCCCCTGGTTAAACGGTGCGGAGGACGTCTAGTTTAGTACTAATGACTCTGATTGAGACAGGGCCTTTCCACTGTCTCATAATGGTTGTAAATCCCTGCACGCTCATTTTGCATATCTCCCTTCATTTTCAAGTGGGCCTCGACCAACTCAAGAGGCCCTATCAAATTCGCGGTCCCGTTCCTGTCCTTTTTCAGAAAATGTGTCGACCAACTCAAGAGGCCCTATGACATTCGCGGTCCCCTTCCTGTTCCTTTTCAGCAAATGTGTCCCTGGCCGACCTGGGGCTCTTTGCCGGCAATGGGTCCCCTGTCCCTGTTTGACACTGTGGGTCACTGACCAGCAAAGAGGCCCTTCATGGCCTCAGGGGTTCTGACAAGAGGCCTTCCGGTTTACATTTTCAGGCCTCGGCCCTCCCCCTGCATGGAAAACAGGCCGGCACAATGCTGACTGTTTGATATTGGTGGTCTTAGTCAGCTGACTGGCAAAGAGGCTCTCACTGTCTCACGGGTTCCCTGATCGATGCAGACCTTTTGGCTGGGGTCTCTTCATACGATCTCCGACCTGTCCTTGGGACCCTTTAATCGGGACCTTGATCGTCAGCCCAGAGGAGCCCAACCGTCGGAAATTAACACGCACCCGGGTGGCCGGTTGGATACCGCTCGCTCGGGTTGGGGTCAATTCGACCCCCCCCCCCCCCCGAGATCTCAAGAACTATGAGAGCTAGAAATGCATAGGTATATTAACCTGCACGTGGCCTCACTTGGGCCAAGGTTTGGAGTTCCTGGATAATGACCTTCGGATCAAATAAGGTCAAACAAGGTTGAACCCTAGGTTGGCGTTAAAAGTGCCCCCAGAACCCAGACACCTGTTCTAGGCCAACGGTCACATGCTCATTTAAAGTCAATGACCTATTTCACCTTTCGAAGGTTACGATGACCGAAATCATACAAGACTGCTTTGAGTTTTGTATTCGAGTAAGCAACAGCGATTTTGCCAGGCAGTATGTTCCCGAAACAAAATGTTGACCTGCGTTATTCTAGGTCAGTGACCTATTCTGACCTTTATGAAATCCACGGAATATGTGTAAGGCGGCTCGTATGATCAATAGATTAAAAAGCTCTGTAGTAATAAAACGGGTTGGTTTTGACGTCGGTCTGACCTTCATACCTGACCCTACGCCAGGGGAATTTGTTCACTCAATTGTTGTGTTGCCTAAGAAAGTATCTCAGAGATGTGCGATCTGATCGAACACTTCGTTGTTGCATCAGATTGAACGATTTCCTAGAAATTGACTTCGCCGAATCCATTGCATGATTTTGACCTGCCGTAGGTCAGCGACCTCACAAGGAACACCGCATTTTTTTACGCAAAATGGTGCACCATTTAATTATCTATAACCAGGCAAAATTTGGTGGGGCTGTGCCGCGCCGTTTAGATGCAATTCTGGAAAAACCTTCGAGGGCTCAAACTGACCCCCATTCAAGCTCTCGTTAAGATCATGGCACTCCGCAATGAAGGTTTTGATGTCCCTTCGCCCTTGGGGCCGGTGCAGGACTTCATCAGAGTGGAAGGCACAACATTGCTTTACCTCTGAAGTTAGGCGCCTCTTTAAAATGAAGGTGCGGAGTTCTTTCTAGCGCCCTTGGCATTGGGCGTCTTTTGAAAATCAAGGTTTCGGTGCCCCCACATGCATGAAGACTTTGTTGGTGCTCCCTCCCCGAATGGGCCGACCCAGAATATTGTCATGGCACATGACACGGACGTTGTGGTGCCTCTGGATTTGGTGACCTTCGAAAATGAAGATTTGGAGCTCTTTCTGTTGTATCTGACATTTAGCACCTCTGTAAAATAAACGTTATGTGGTTTCGAAACGAAGGTTTTGGTACCGCCTGGTGTCCGTTCGGGGCACCAAATCTACGCGAATATGCGATGGGCACCAAATGCATCCATGAATTTATGTCCAGCATGCTAATTTTAGACCTCGTGTGCCCATTCATGTTTCTCGCTCGGACGGTTGACTTGTTCATGGTATTGTATGCAGCAGTAAACTGATCAAACAATATTGTTCACATGGGTCCATATCTTCTATGTGAAGGAAACGATATCTGCGACAGAAAGCATATTGTGTCAGCGCGCAAGTTATGTCCAGCAGTCTTCCAGGACAAAAGAGAAGAAAGTCTTCCAGAACAGACACGAAAAGACCGGGGTATCTTGGTGTGTATCCTCTGCTCGAGGGGAATGTTGAAGGGCGTGTCTCAACATTTGTGTGGGAATTTGAACTTAGCCATCTTGGTGGTCATTCGGCGTAGTTCACATCCCTGCCCTTCATAAGACCTGAACCCCTCAAGTTTTTTAGCTAGACGCTGGCCATGATGCACGGGCTATTTTTTTTTTGGGGGGGGGACTATTTCAAGATCATCCAAGCATCCATGACGCCATAACACCGTAATTCAAACCCTGTCATTCTTTTAGCCGTGCAGCGATCAAGGCCCCAAAAATGTAATTGTCGAGTCGTTCATGTCTGGCGTTCGTGAACACGAGTTCCAGATATAACGGCCGTCAATTGGCTCTCAGTCGATGTTGTGCAAAGTACGATGACGTAGCCAATACAGTTGTGTATTGAGGAGCAACTGAATTATGTTTTCTAGAGCAGTCTTTACCATTCAAAAGTACACCAATAGTTATAAGTGTGCTTGTTTCGCCATATCTGATACTTGCTTCAATATCTTTCAATGTGGAACATTCCCTGTAACAAAACATCCTGGGTCTAATTTGACACCGATTGCATAAAACGAAACGGAACAATCTAAGATAGGCTTAGATCTGATTTACCTCGATTCCATAAAACAAAACCTGACTATTTAATGTGAGCGTCTTAAAATAAATAGACATGTTCTGCATGAATCGCGGTGAATGTATGGCACGGCTGGCAACAACAGGCTCTCAGTCTTGCGTTCAAAGTCTGTTTTGATTTTCAGACAGTTCTTATAGCCTTATTCCTCGTAGAATAACCAGGAAAAGGAGAGATTGATGCATTTCCCTAGATAATCAATTCAGTTCTAATCCATTTATCTCTTCAGTGTCCTGGTTTTTATAAGAGGAACAAGGCTATGGGTACTGTTTTATATATGTGCATAATGTTTCTCGCAATTGCATTTAACAGCTCAGGAAATATTATTTTTTATATAATCTGCATAGGTCAGTTGTGACATGCTTAACCTAAGTCCTTAAACTAAACTTAACTAACTCCGACTTGAGGAGTTCCAGAAGTGGAACAGAATGGTCGCGAAATCGGTTAATGACTTCTTCGGACCCGAATGTTTTGTTCTCAGCTGTAAGCATGATTCTGAGGTTGAGCGCGTAATCACCTTCTTTTTGGCTCACATCGTTAATTTTTCTTGGAAAAGAGTGTAGTCTCAGAGCTAATGTAGCGAAAAGCCGTCGTAAAGCCCTCGTAAGCTTTTTCTGACTCAAGGAAAGCAGCCACAGCGCCGCCACCAAGCTCTCCCCGCAGTAGCGCATCTCAACATTAGAAACGCGGGTACCACGGCATAAATCCTCTAAGCTGAAATGACTAAACGGACGTGCAGTTAAGCTGGAGAAGCATCAGCAGCATGACAGAAGTCACTTCAAAGAGTCGCGCTGGTTTATCGATCCACGCCGGGAGCGCGCCGGTCCCTGACGAGCATTGACGTCATCAGTCTCGTGATGACGTCAGTCTCGGGCGGCCCAGGGCTGCTGTTGACGTTGGCTTGCTTTGTTCTAACTTACTCGTCGGCGACTGGCATTCAATTGACGTTTTAGTTCTGAGCCGTACGTCGCTCGGAGTGTCGTGGAGTTGACATACAGCAGCTTGATATTAATGCCGTCTTGCGAAACTTTCTAATATAGAAGGAGAGGGAGTGTATAAATCGCTGCCTTAGCAACACGTCTTACAGTGACACTGCATAAGCAAAGTTATCTGGGAAAAGAAATCTGTTAAAGGTCTTTGGACGAATATCATCTATGCCCACAGTAGCCTGATGCAAAAAGGACTTCGGCTTTTTCATTAAGACTGGAGCATAAAAAGTTTGTCAAACCACAAAATCACTTGAAGTACTGTATTAACAGGATGCCCAAATTCGGAAGTAACACGGCTGATCAAAATCTGCTCGTTTCTACCTCAAACCGCTCACGCAACGTCTTTAAAACTCGCAGGTTTTCCTGCGTCCGCCAATGTCGACAGTTCTACGGTCCCAATACGTATTAGCTGTTACTGGGCTGTTACTGTTAGAGCCACTGGGCGGTCTCGAGAGTCTATGACCGCAGCACGTGCAATAGGTCCGGACCACGTCGATGTGTCCGACCTTGTTCAGAATGCACAACGAACGGACGGTTGGACGGAATGGAACGGAATGGACGCAATCGTTTCGCACGGGTCTCCAGACTCACCTGTCTTTCGGACGTATATGCGGCCCTGGCTCCGCAGGTTCATAGTCCTCTCAGGAATTCGGGGTAAAGTTGGCACATCACTCGTCGCGGGTGCTCTTAACATCTCGATAGACCTCTTAATTGGCCGTTAAAGAATAGTCTGGAATTTTTCGCTTGCTGCAGGCGTACATTACACGCCTGGTGGTGTCTGATTCACCTTATTCTCCATCTGAGGAGGGATTTCAGGCTGCATGTAGGGGTGATGGCGGCGCGTGTCCTGTCGTCCTCCGCGTGTTCTTCTGGTCGTGAACTGCACTCTGGATAACTGGTCCCCCTGCATCGCGATACCGATAGTCTGCTGCGCTTGTGCACGCTGTGCGTAAGCCCAACTCCAGAGCGCTCGTCAACACCTGACTCGTGGCGTAGAGGGTTCGCCTCGTCCTAGCGGGTTCATCACATCCTCGTTGCGGTCGTTGCAGCGCATCTGAACCACATCAAGAGGGTGGCCGGCGCTGATCACGTGGGCCTCGGAGCGGGGTACGACGGTATAAACTGGTGAGTGTCGATGGCATACAACGGCGTGGCTTCACAGCATGAGGTGGTGAGTGCCGATGGTATCCACCGGTCAGGCTTCACAACATGAGCTGGTGAGTGTCGATGGTATCCATCGTCCAGGCTTCACAACATGAGCTGGTGGGTGCCGATGGCACCCACCGGCCAGGCTTCACAACATGAGCTGGTGAGTGTCGATGGTATCCACCGCCCAGGCTTCACAACATGAGCTGGTGAGTGTCGATGGTATCCATCGTCCAGGCTTCACAACATGAGCTGGTGAGTGTCTATAGCATCCACCTCCCAGGCTTCACAACATGAGCTGGTGAGTGTCGATGGCATACACCGCCCAGACTTTACAACATGAGGTACACTATGGTATCCACCGGCCAGGCTTCACAACATGAGCTGGTGAGTGTCGATGGCATCCACCGCCCAGGCTTCACAACATGAGCTGGTGGGTGTCGATGGCATCCTGACTGACGCTATCAGTCGATTACTCTCGGTGACGTGCATTGTCATCTGGTTTTGGATATTGACAGATTTCAAATGTGTCGTAACGGTTTGACAAGCCATCGATTTTCGTCGAGATGCATGCAGTATGCTCGAATGGGAGCGCGTCTTCGCTCACCGTCCGGCGCGTAGGCAGCCCGCTCGGCGCTGGTGCACGCCGGCGCAGTATACCTGCAGACAATGACGTCACTGGCACTGGACTAAGGTCGGAATATTCCAATGATGGGGTGCTGGAATTTGGCGAACTTTCTGGCATATAAATCAACACGGAAATGTACGGAAACATTTCGATCTGTGTCCTGTGTTTCATATCCGGTGCGTGGTAAGCTGCGTTTTAGGTCCTGTGTTGTTTTTTGTTTGTTTTTTTTTTGCATTATTTAGACGACCCGATTTCGGATAAAGTATGACAGAATGAATTCCTTGCGAGAGATTCGAACTCTTGATTACAGGTACTTGTTAAGCCCTACAACTGCGTTCTCGGACCGTAAGTGGTTAATGAGCTTGAATTGTCGAATGGCTAGAGTGGAGTTGTGCAAGCGTGGAAGCAGCTGAAAATAATTACGTTGCTGAAGCCTGAGGAGTAGCTTGTGACGAGAAGCTTGTGACTACAGAAAGCGTTTTCCTCCAGAATTTCTTAGAATTAACAGAGCTCTCCCACAAGTATGTGGAACTGGTTAACTGAGATTTAGATGCGGCAAGCGACACAAAACAAGCGACAGCAAGCGCTACATTTAGACGCACAAAATATTTCTGAAGCCTCTCTGTAGAATTAAGCTAACACGTTACAAAGCAACGGTCCTTAGCAGTTTACCGGGTCAGCTGGACAGCTGTACACTCCATAGGCAGCTAACTGTTAGTTCCGGTAACTGCAATCAAGCTTCTGGCTGATGTCATTCCCGTCACCATTTTTTTTTTTAGAAATTTGATCCGAACCCTTTGAATGGATGGATTTCTGGGATCAGCGCTCACGCTAAGCAGTGCTTGTTGTGTGAGCCCTGACCCTTACCATCCGATCGCGCAATTCCAGGCAACGGCAGAATTTAGTGGCGAAAGCTTAACGTGCCGCAATGCTCGGCACGGTCCGTCCTGCCCTCTGACGTCAACTGACCTTTAGTGCGACCGCTGCCACCGGCCGCAGGCCATACCTGTCAAGGGCAAATAGCGAGCGCCTAAAGCGACTCGAACCCATCCCGCCACGGGTGGGTGAATCGGGAGGCAGGCGCTCTACCCAACTGAGCCACCGGGACGGACAAATGCGGATCAGCACGACAGAGCTCGTACGCTTTAAAACTTTTCCTGCTTTCCAAAGACCCTTACCCGTTTTTGTATTTATTTCAGGACCCCTAGCGGTCTGGAAGATGTATCACGATATCCGTACCTGTTCGCCGAACTGTTGAAGGATGATTCGTGGACCGAGACGGATTTGAAGAAGCTGGCAGGTCTCAACTTTATCCGGGTCTTCAAGGAAGTAGAACAGGTACGCTTCGTAGCCTTCCCATCTCCCCATTGCAAATGGTTCGACGAGCGGCATATGGAAGTGTGGTCACACATGGCCAAGGCGTTGGTCACAGTAAAGAGGATGGCATTGACATCGGTTAAGACATTGTTCATCCATATTTAATTGTGCACATTTTTCTCTGGTCAATCACGATACAGCTGAAAGTAATGTCGCGTCACCAGTTGCTCAAGATATGCGACTGTCGATGCTTAAATAACAAAAATACTTGCATTGAAGCGTAAACGTATGCTGGTTGTATTTTTTATGGAGGCCCAGTGTCACTCTTTTTTATAAACTTATCCCGAATGCTTTGTATGGGTGACTTCGGATTCAGAGTACCTGCTAAGCATAGCCTGTTGCGTGTACCCCAAACCCACCACCCAAGCGTGCCGTCCAGTTCAACAGCTAATTTTGTCTCCACCTTTTCGCCAGATAGGAATGAGGAGGGTTTTATGTGCCGCACAATGCTGCGACACGGCCGCCTCGGGTCTGGGTTGAACCTCTTTGGCCAGTTGCCAGCTGGCCTTTCCATTTCAGTCGGGTCAAACAATGCGCCCACTCTGGGACTCGTACTCAGTGCCGCTGGATTACGAGTCCAGCATCTTTCCCCAAGACCACGGAGGCGGCAAAGCTAGAAACTCTGAGGAAGCTAGTGACTCAACAAGCCCAGACAGGTCCTTCCTGCTCAGCTGCATCCCTGCAGTCCATGTCTGTTCCTGTCTCCCGCCGTGCCCGCACTCCCCACGTCCATGAGCAAGGAGGAGCAGCACCCGCGAGTGACTGACCTCCGACGCTTGGCCGCCAGGTGAGCCGCCAGATGGCACTGGAGGCGGTGCGGCCTCGCCAAGACCGCGTTGACCCACTGAAGCTGATCTTTACCAGCGCCGCCCGCTGCAGTTACGAGCTGACCGAAGCGCTCAGCAAGCACTCGCAGGGCGACGAGCGGAACCGGTAGGGGCGTGTCACTCTACCCAGCACCACCAGCGACGAAGCGGTGCCGTTAGGGGAGCTCCACCGTGTTCAGCATCACCAGCGGCACAGCTGGGGGCGGCCGCGCTAGGGTGTTTCACCGTGTCCAGCACCACAAGCGGCGAGCGGCCCGCTAGCGGTGCCACACCGTGTTCAGCATCACCAGCGGCACCGTTGGGGAGCTCCACCGTGTCCAGCATCACCAGCGGCATCGCTAGGGGCACGTAATTCCCCGGCATCACCTGCCGCGCCACCGGAAGCTTCCCAGGAGGAACGGACGGGTCCCCCTCAGCAGCAGGTCAAACTGCTGTTACTGCGAGCCAACGGCTGCGAGCAGAGGAGCCCGGAGTGAAGGAAGCCCGCGGAAGGGAATGTCAGGTCACACGCCTCTGAGCACGTGACGTGACAGACTTGTGATCACGCACTGGTGTGCAACAAGTCAGCGGCTTGGAGTAGCCAGATGGGAGGATCGGCGTGCGGACATGCATTGCATGCCGAGTCATTCTAGGCCTCATCCACCAAAGCAAGGCGGAACTAACGTGGTCAGCTATGGCCATACCTTACCTTACCATGCATACATTACCACACCACACCTTGTGAGACCCGTGGTGTTGAGAGCGCTGTGAAATGTCGCTTTGTAGGGCACCACGCCGAAGCGCAGGGCGGAGACAGTGAATACCAGATAAGCCAAGCACATCCATGCGCAGGTGGACTTTCCGACGCGACTTCCGTTTTCATCAGTCTGTCTTCATGTGCCTTCCGTTTTCATCAGTCTGTCTTCATGTAGCTGCCGTACCTTCCGTCTTCATGTACCTTAAACTTTTTCTTAGTACGGTTATCTGGGTTCTAAGGGCTCTTCGGAGACCAACCTGGAATTTGACTTTGTTTGACCTTATTTGACCGGAAGGTCATGACCTAGGAACCTCAAGCTTTGGCCTAAGTGAGTTCACGTACAGGTTAGCGAACCCGGTGAATTTGGTGTCTCTAGCTTTCTTACTTCCTGAGATCTTAGTGGGGTCAAATTGACCCCTCACCCGAGCGAAGAGTACCCAACCGGCCACCCGGGCGCGTTTTAAGAGCGACTCGATCTCCCCTCCCCCCCCCCCCCTTCCGCTCCACCTCGTCCCTCAGTCTGGCATCACGCCGGGGGTCCATGAACAAACACAACTATCTCAGCGTCAAGGTTCCTTGGCATTTATTGTTTGACGTCCGCGTTCTATGCAATAACTCGCCACAGAGTTTTGCCAGATGGAAATGCCTGGCGGCTTGCTGTTACGACACCCATCACAGAATGGAGCATTCGATGGTGCCGCCTCCTAGACATGTTAAGACGTCTGGGTTGGCATAACAAAAGCAAGCCGACAGAGACAGGATATGGCCGTAGAGTTAGGGGCATATGAACTGCTGAAAAGTGGCTACATTGCAACAAATTTTGTGACATTGTCTTTTCCGAGCTCAGTTTACCACAACCCTCTCCTGGTCTTTCAAAATCGCTTGAATGTACTCTCTTCCATGCTCGGCACCGCACCACCCCCGTCCATCAAAATTTCTTGGCTTCACCATGCTGCACGAGTCTGCTGATCAGTATGACCCCGGGACGCGGTGGGATGGAGTGTCGCGTCAGCCCACCCCCCTCTCTCTCTCTCTCCCCCCCCCCTCTCTCTCTCCCTCTCTCTCTCTCCCTCTCTCTCCTCTCTCTCTCTCTCTCTCTCCCTCTCTCTCTCTTCTCTCTCTCTCTCCCTCTCTCTCTCTCTCCTCTCTCCCTCTCCTCTCCTCTCTCCCTCTCTCCTCTCTCTCTCTCCTCTCTCTCCTCTCTCTCCCTCTCTCTCTCTCTCTCTCTCTCTCTCTCTCTCTCTCTCTCTCTCTCTCTCTCTCTCTCTCTCTCTCTCTCTCTCTCTCTCTCTCTCTCTCTCTCTCTCTCTCTCTCCCACGGCAGCGCTGCCGCCTCAGTGACCAGCCCACGTGCCGCAGCTCGATACGGTCAGGGCCCGGCGCGCCCAAATTGGCATTGTTGCGCCATATCCACCGCACCGCCTGCGCTACCTCAGGCCTCTGTTTGACGAGCGTAATTATCCAGCCAGGCTCAGTTCATCCAGGCCGCGCAGCTGCTGGTCTTCAGCCGGCCGCTGTTCGCTGCGGGAGTGTTTTGTTGAGTTTTCACATCCGTGTTTGCGCGCAGGCATTCAAAAGGCTTTTGTTTTTGTTACTGACGTCAATGGTTCTTAAACAAACACCGGATGATTTGCCACTCGCCATCGAAAAGCTCATCAATATTCAGCGTGCAAACAATTTTAGTGATGGCCGCCAGACAAACCCCGTGCACTATTTCAGAGACGGTTTAATAATTGTCTCGTCGTCGCCTGACGCCCACGCTGGGAATCTGTCGTCGGGCGTGTAATTCCGCTTCCTGTCCTTTGAGAAATACGGAGAAAAACGCTGCAGTGGGCCCGATTTGAGAGAATCATCTTCAAAGGAGACAATCAAGCTTGCCCGAACGCACAAATGGGATAGACTGGCATCAAGTCGTTACTTACGGCATCTATCCCGATCTGCGCGAAGGGGAATGGCTTCAGGCTTCAGTCGCATGGCTACCTCAGCCGAACCGCTATTTTTCTTTCTTGAGACTATCCCACAGTTCGGCAGCTAAGTCTGGAAGTGTTAAGTTGTTGCCAATCATGCAACGAGCCTATGAAGAGTTGTCGTTGATCCCAAAAATTGTGCAGCCGCTGGAGTGGAGCGTACACGGTGGATGGCATCCGCCGTTCGCTACTTCTGCGTCGCATCAATCACTTTGTTTTTTGTCCGGACTTTATTTGCTTGACCTTGCCCGTCTCACATTGACGTTCGAGATGACCTTCAAAAGCGTCCGCGCTTATGGATGTTGCCATGTCCGGAACGAATTCTGCACTCGAGTCAAGAAACGGCCTCTTACGTTTTGATCGTGCATATTACCCATCATTCTTTTGCATCGGCTCCATCTTCTCAGTCGATGATCTCCCCACAGCATACACAGATAACTTTGAGCCGTCAGGTTCCATGAGAAAGAACAAGCAGGCAATCACGGTAGTCTGGCTACAGCATACTGCGTCAATACCATGCGGCAACTGTCGGTAAAAGTGGCTGCCACTTCACCTTTACGATGTCAAAATAATAGGCCCTGTAGGTGGTGACGATGTTGAGCCCCACTAATTAGGTGAACACTCGTAACGAACCAAAGCTGCTGTCACCTGTCGTGGCACTTGTGACCTGCCAGGCTTCACGTATATTCGCATTTTACCAGGCGATTTCACACGAAAAACAACAACCCAGCGCACACCGAAAGTAACCCGCTTATGCAGGTCAACGACATGGGATATACCCTTCAGCGGTACGGAATCCTGATAAGGATTGGCGTGCTTTGCGCCAAAGGTACGCGAGACGGCGTCCACATCATGTAGCAACGAACAGGCGATTCCGCATTGTTGAAGACTGTTTTGAAGTTCACCGGAAGGTACTGAAAGATATTCTGAGGGCGTGGAATTTTGTGTAAGATGACCGTATGTTTAATGTGAGCACGAATGTAATCGGTTGTCTGCTCTGCGCTCATTCCCGGATGTAAAGTAAATTATGTGTAAACGTAATCGAAAAATGGAAGCGTGCGTATGCTTCTCCACGGAGTTCACCTCAACTTATCTTGTCACGGAAACGCCTTTCTCCGAGCTAAAAGCACGTGACGTTATTGTGTTGTCTCCACATCTTCTCTGCAAAGAAAATCACACTAGAGGCTCCTAACAGGCTTTTGCATGGACTTCAATCCGGCGTGCATTGTGTGTCAATGGTTAGATTTTTGACACATGTGTTGTTACGACACAGCTGACACCCAAAACAAGCCCCACGTGACACCACTGCACAGATTACCGCGTGTTTGTGCTGTTGTAGGACTCAGGAGTGAGTTGCCTGCCGCGGTGGATTACAGAGCTCACTTTTATTGACGTTGCTCTGGAAGAATGCATGACGCAACTGCAGTTGTGTGTGAATGTCTGTTGAGCTGAACGAAAAGCTCTGGCGTTTGTTTTCGACCTGTCCAAGACCATGCTATGAGTCGATATTTGATGTTAATGATTCCGTGTCTGGGTGTTGTATCACATGTGTGTCTGATGTCTACGTCAGCGTGTCATGGCCGGTTCAGTCTTTCACTCGCTCGTTGAGGCCGCACTTTGTGCGTCTATTTTTCCATGGTTGTCATAGACTATGTATTTTTATATAAAGGTGTGCAAATACACGGAAGCACTTGTTCCTTTTTAAATCGACAATGTCAGTGCGAGGCCACCGCCATCTACAAGCATTGAGCTCCACAAAAGTCCAAAACAGCTACTTACGCTGTGCCCAGCTTAATGCTGCACTTGCATGGATGCCTTACATTCTCAAGTCATGCATTTCTGTTTATCACTAGCGCACATCTCTGTATGTCATGGATGACATTCATGGCTTGCCTCAAAATCTTTAATCTAGCATTGTATCAGATTTGGGGAGCATCCGGGGCAGACATGATTGAAGACGAGAGGTCAGCACACCGCCCAGCGGCGCGGGAGCCGCCTGCTGGGTGGGGTGTAGCATGCCCTGGACCTGGAGGTCGAGGTCGCTGCAGCTCCAGCCCCTCTTTCAGGTCGTGGGACGACCGACTAATGAAGCATCCTCAATGCGAGATTTAGGTTACGCCAATGCGGAACTTTTTATTGAAATGCGTTCTTCTTTCTTTGATTTCTTTGACATTTCTTATCAGGAGTGACGCAGCTTGTGCCGCGTTTAATTCATCAAAGTGATGCCGACAAATGACGCAGCAGACACGCAGCGGCAGATTTCGGTCCTTTCGCTGTCTTAAGTTTCAGATCTGCAAGTGTATTGAGTTGGGTTGTCAAAACAAAGTATCAGCTTTCGTTCCTCAACCATGTTTATTATGACGTGAAATCAGACACTGCGCCTTGTCCTTCGTACATTGATTACAATCTTAGTTTCTTGCTGGTCGGAATCACAGGTTTCTCGTGTTGTACGGCTGGACTAGAATGAGTTCAAGCACTACTTGGTATAGCTTCTATTTGCTCGCGCGAAGCCACAGTAAATATAGTACCGCATTCTGTCTGGGTGGCGGGTAGGAACCTATGTAACACGGACAGGTCCATATATCATCTTCTCATAAAACGTACCATGCAAGGTTTCTCTGGTCAAATTAAATCCATTTTTTGCAATAGTTTTCACTGGAATCGGCTGCATTGACATCAAATGTGGGTATTTCTTTGAGTCGGAGTCGAAGTCGATTCAAGACTGACTACACTGCCACGAGTCAAAGTCGGATTCAAGCCGATGCACAGTGACTCGGGGTGTAAATCCCTTCCACCAGGGTGGAATCAAGCACAAGCCTGCGCCCAATGTTAGATCAAAATGACGTCACATATGATCGACGGTTGAGAGTGTTTAACGTCCCATCCGGCTGCCTTTCTACGCACACTTCTTTGAGACTCCATCTTGATTATGAGTCCTAACTTTTGGCATGAACTTATGATAGCTTGCACAAACGTTCAGGTATGTAATGTTAAGACATTTTGGCGCCCCTAATTTACCTCTGGCACTACACTGCATCACTCAGCTGAACTGATGATTGCGCACAATGCTTTGGGACTTCGGCGTGCTGATGATTCACAGTTAACACCGACATTGCAAAGGCATAACAGTTCAATGCCATTCCGAGTCCCCGCGGCTCGCGCCAGCATACTGGTAATTCGCCATAAACGTCGCGAGGTCGTAGGGGATCAAATGACGCCCGGGTCCTCGTAGCTGACGCCCGTGTGGCGCCATGTACCCAAACACCACCCGCCCTCGTAGCTCGCTCCTCCCGCTACGGGCGTGGAGGGAGGAAAGTTTTAGTCGCTGCACGTGG